GTGAGGCTGAAGTTAGAAGCCTGGAACTCCATTCATGTTTCGCATGTGGATGGCAGGGACTCAAATACTAGACTCACTATTTGCTGCCTCCCAGGATGCACATCTGCAGGAAACTGGATTGGAGATAGGGCAGCGGGACTTCAGGTGTCCCAAGCAGTGGCTATGCCACAGGTCCAACTCCTTTGGGACTTTAATGCAAAGGGCTATACCAAGTGACCACATTATTAGGGACAAAGAGATTAGAAGCTACTCTGGCCAAATTTGCTGTTGATGCTTCTTTGCTATTTCACATTCCTTACAGGCTGTTACACATCAAGGATGAGAGCACTCATTCTGGATGATGGAATGGGTTTAGATCTAGTCTTTGCCACTTACTGTGAGGACCTGTACAAATTACTTAATTGTTCTGTGGCTCAAATTGCTTATCTGTACAATGGGGATTGTTGTACTAATACCTCATACTATGCTAAAACATAAAGTAGATGAACTTAGAGCTGCTTTAGCGAAATTAGGAGACTCAAGGCTCACCTACTTGGGATTCCCCATTCGTTGCCTCCTCCAAGGGCACCAGTCTGGAAGCCAAGAGCTCTCTGTATCACTCTGAGGCAAGCACCAATAGCCATCCCAGCTGTTCTACTGATAAGAAAGTTGTAATTTGCCCAAGGCAACATAAATGGATCATGGTATCCAGGGGCTTGATTCCAGCTTCCTCAACTCATAAACTGAGTGCTCTTTCCATTAGCTCTGGCTCTGATGTCAACTATTCCCACTTAGTTTAACCTTATTTCCGTGAACTGGCATTCAAAGCTCTGAATGTGATCCAACATATCCTCCCTTACTCTTATCCCCATGTTTGCAGCCCTGCCAACTTGTTTTACCTACAATTTTGATTCTCACCTTTCCAATATGCTCATCCCAGTCCTGCCCAGGCAAATGCCCTATCCAAGCCACTCCTTTCCACAACTTCCATGATTATTCACCTCCCTTTGACATCTGTACAGTTAAACTCCTCTAGGAACCCACTGGATAAATTGTCTTCTTAGTTATCCTTCTCAGACTTGAAAAATCCTATTATAACTAGTCCCTACATTATTGCAAGATACTCATTTCCAAAGGTACAAGGCCTTTTGCATTTGTGGAAACATTGTTTTGTAAAAGTTCTCACATCCCTCACTGATTTCTCATAGTACTTAAATTAGATGCTTGCATTGAATGGACTCCTTTAAATTACCCACATTGTTTCATATATTCTTTCATCTTTACAACTTGAGTTTCCTAATGGTAGAGATCACTCTAAATGTCCGCATCCAGAGAGTCCGCATCCAGAGAGACTTATGCAGGTCAAGCAGTAATTCATTTCAACATTTTCTAATATGGTTGGCCCTACCCACTTGAATATGAGCTTCTCATGAATAGGTATTCTTCTTTTACAGACAGTGCTAAAAATAAACCTTTGCAGGCCAGAACTCATTTTTCAGTATCATTTTTGATACACAAAAGAAGGAATATTATGATTAAAAAAAGAACAAGTATTCTTTTAACTTGTAAGCCCCAGCATTGTCAAATATAGGGTTCAAACAGAACGGACAAGAAATATTTAGACATAGCTGTAGTTATTTCCTAGTTTTGTATGCATTGTAAGCCCAATACGTTCACACTAAGCAAAAAATGAAAATGGAAGAGAAGTTGTAAGTGATCTTAAGTCATCATATTTAGGTGGAACAATAGTTGTGCCCCCTCCCCTTTTTATCCATGTTACACACAATATGCCACATTGCAGAAATAAGGCAAGAACTTAAGTACCAGGCCCTGGAATACAGGTGTTATATGCCTTATATTATTTAATAATCACAAGTATCCCATGAGGTAAGTATTATTTTTATCTTAACAGTTACCAAAAAAAAAAAAAAAGAAAAATGAGGTGATGATAAAATAAAAATCCAACATATCAGCCCCAAATCATACAGCTAGGTCATGGCAGAGGTATAATTTAATCCAGATCTAATTCTAGAAACCATACTCTATCATGGTACAGGATGACACCAGGCATGTCTTCTACTCCTCTACATCAGTTAAATGGGGCTAACAGGAAGGTATGGTAATGATTAAATAATTCATGTGAAATAGTTAACATGGTATATTACACATAATAAATACCCAATAATCTGTACTCACTCTCATTGCAGTATTCTATGGCAGGGTTAAAAGGTCAGTAGGGCATGCTTCCTGACCTTGAAAAATCTGGCACAAGATTTCCTGCCCTTTGAAAACGACGGGATAGCACACCTGTGATTATAGTGAATGAAAAAGTTTTTTTTTTTCCCCAGATGCAACTAAAGCTAGTAATCAGTGGACCTCAAATTAATCAAAAGGGAGATTATACTGGTGGGCATCCTTCATCAAATCTCATGAGCCCTTTAAAAGCAAAACAATTGGTAGCAGAGAGAAAAATCAGATTTGCAGCACAAAGATTTTATGTATTGTTGCTGGTTCTGCAGACTGAAGGGGACACACGGAAGTCCTTGGAGAAGTCTCTAGAAGCTGAGGATAGCCCTTAGCCAGTAGTTAGCCCTACAAGCACCAGGCACCAAATTCAGGCAATAACCAGAGAAAGCTGGGAAAGTGGCGTTTTTCAAGCTTCCAGGGCAAAGCCTGGCCAACACCTTGATTTTGGCTTGGTGAGATCCTCAGCAGAGAACGCAACTCAGCCTACTCGGATTTCTGATTTATCAAAATGTGAGCTAACAGATGGGTGCTGTTTTAAGTTGCTAAGTTTATGAAGTTGCTAAGTGAAGAAGGGACAAACTCACAAAACTAATATACAAGGTTAATGTAAAAATACAAACAAGGGTTTGGGATATTAATAGAGGCATACATAAAGTACAAAGGAAGGATGCACTATCCCTAAAAGTGGAGGAGGGCTGAAGTCTTAGTGAATTTAGAGGTGGTACCACTAGGAAGCTGACAGTGTTGGCTGCCTGTGATTGAAGGGAGCTTGCATGAAGTGAGAGAAGAAAGGCAGTCTATGCATAGAGATCTCAGACAGCATAAGGAAAGGATGAGCAAGCATCCATTTTCAGCAAAACAACTAATTTTGATGTCTTGATGCATGCTTATAACATAGCATGATTATGCACAGTTAGGATCTTTTCAATCTACTCTCCTTCACATTAAAAGATTTCCATATCTCTCAAAAGCAAATAGTTGCAATTTAAAACACAATTTGCAGTAAATTTGGAATGATCCTGCCTTATTATCAAACATGTCAGGATTAGTATTTTTCCTATACTGAGATAAAGAAAAAATGTTTATTAATAGGCCTGTAATAGTTTTTGTTCTCATTAATTAAACCTTAAGGGGGCCGGCGCTGTGGTGCAGCAGGTTAAGGTGCCATCTGCAGTGCCAGCACCCCATTTGGGTGCCAGTTGGAGTCCGGGCTGCTTCACTTCTGATCCAGTTCACTGCTAATACACCTGGGAGGGCAGCAGAGGCTAGCCCCAGTGCTTAAGCCCCTGCACCCACGTGGGAGACCCCGATGAAGTTCCTGGTTCTGGCCTGGCCCAGCTCTAGTCACTACAGCCATTTGGGGAGTTAATCAGTGGACAGAAGACCTCTCCCCTCTCTAACTCTCTCTCTCACTGTAACTCTGACTTTCAAATAAAATAATCTTTTTTTTTAAAGAAAATTAAACCTTAAGAATTTTTTTTAATCTAAGAACATAGATTAGTAGGCCTCTCTCCTTAGAGAGGGGAAGTTTTTTTCCTTAAAAGAAATGTTAAAGATTTCTGACCATACTACAGATTTAGAAATAAAGCATTGAAATAAGAGCTGTAATTGAAGCAGATTTGCTCATTTCTCTCCCCCTCCCCTGAGGTGCTCCATGGGAATAAATTAAGTACTGAGGGAGGTGAATTAAAATCAGGAGTTTCCTTGTGGCTAACAGTGACTGAATATCCTAGCTACCTAATTTATCATCAGAGTGACTTAAACTCCAGGGAAATTCTGGATCACTCAACTAAAAATAAGGTTACATCAATGGATTTTTCAAAGAGCATCTATACTTCAAGAAGGATTAAATGCAAACATTTTAGTAAATGCTAATTATATCAAGGCTATCAGAATATTGGTCTTACTGGTACTGGCTGCTGGGTACGTCTTTCTCTGAATAAACTTTCTCTGATTAAACTGAATCAACCACCTTGTCTACTCCTGTCAATCTACTGCAGGGAGAGGACCTAAGAGAAATGTTCTATCATGTCTTCATAAATCAGATCTTTTAATATATAGGAGTTTTGATCACATGACTTGGGTTTTCTTAGCAAATACCTTTAATACTTCAAGTATTTCTATGACAGATTAATAACTTTTAATCCAGACACTTTACCCACATTCAACCCAAAAAATAAAAATAACAAATAATTCCAATTTTTCAAGCATATCCAAGAGAGTAACATACCCCCACTAAATTTTTCAAGGATAACATCTTTCCCAGGGTTAACTAAGAATATGCATGATCCAGAATAAATCGTTTCCATATGGCCATCACTAGCAATGAACCAGTGACAGGCAAGCAGGTAAACATATAAAAACAGTGATGCCTGTGAAATACAGGTGTGGAAAGTCACCTCAATCTACACTATAGCTTAAGACTCAAGGGCCAGTGAAGATAACCACTAGATTATAAATGGTCATCAGTTAATGTTTAATTACTGTTCAATAATTTACTCTTTTAAGACAATGAGTTTTGATCAATTCTGACAAGAGGGAAAGGTATTTTTCCAGCAAAAGCCTTTCTCTCCTTGTCCATGGCATAGCACATTCTGTCTTTAGCGTGGTTTTCTTCATTCTGAGTAACACAGGTGATTACATTCAAATGGCATTTAACATGAATTGCACCAAACTGTCCTTTAATTTCATTTTGGACTGAATTAATTAACTTCTCAGTAGGTGGGTAAGGTACTGAACATAAGCCTAAAGAAATACTTGACTGCTTAACCTACCTTATATGAGTTGTCTCTAAATCAAGGCGGCTTCCATTTTTAATAAATAGTAATAGGTAAAATAAATTTAGTAGGATCCTAAAGGGTAAAGATAAGGCATTTATAATAACTGGATTTAGTTTCCCACATACATTCACATCCATTTAAAAGAAGTCAGGGGGCACTGTAGACAGTTAAGGTGGATTTAACAAAACTCAGCTAGAGCTGGCGTGCCTGATATTTTTGAAAGACTGTTCACCTTAGGAGGTATGCATTTGTAATAAAAAAAATGCCTCTTTGTCTTTATAAGATAAAATACAAAACTTACCATTTTGTAGCCATTAAAAACAATGCTATGGTAATGCTGTTGTAAGTAATTTATATCCCAGAGCTTAGCATGTAACTCCAATTGTCTTTAGGTATTATCTTCAGATCATCAGAATTATAAAACACCTGTTTTTTTCTGCCATGTATCTCCAATTATTATTACTAAGGTCTGACAGCTAATTCTTTGTTTCAAGGTTTAGAGTCTTAATATACAAGGAAATGAATTAAAAAGACAAAGAAACGTGAAAAGCCAGCTCATAAAGAGCTGGAACATCCTTCATATCACATGGCATATTTTTCTGTCGTAAACTTCCGGTTTAGGAAATGAGACAAACATTGTTTTGATGAGTTCTTTGACACAGTGTTTAGCTCAGTATTTTTAGATTATTTTTTAAATACTGAAGGAAGGAAGGAAGGTAGGGGACTCAGGGAAGGAAGGTAGGAAGGCACTGAGAAAGAAAAACACAAGTCTGCCATAACTTTCTTTTTTGGCAAGGGGGTAGGGTCACAGAAAGTGCATCTGAGGATTCTGGTGGTCTTTAAGGGCTCCATAGTAGGACAGGCCTCCAGAAGCGGGATTAATAGTGTCAGAGGGGCCGGGTGTGGCCTAGCAGGCAAAGCCATCATACTATATGGGGCTCTGGTTCAAGTCCCAGCTGCTCCACTTCCGATCCAGCTCTCTGTTAAGGCCTGGGAAAGCAGGAGAAGACGGCCCAAGTCCTTGGGCCCCTGCACCTGCGTGGGAGACTGGAAGAAGCTCCTGGCTCCTGGCTTTGGATCAGCACAGCTCCAGCAGTTGCGGCCATCTGGGAAGTGAACCAGCAGATGGAAGACCCCTCTCTCTCTCTCTGCCTCTGCCTCTTTTTAACTCTGCCTTTCAAATAAATAAATAAATAAATAAATAAATAAATAAATAAATAAATAAATAAATCTTTAAAAAAAAAATAGTGTCGGAAGCCTGGGGTGGTCCTTGGTTAAGGCATCACCTAAGGACTGCAGCAACAATGTTTCACACCTGTTCAAAGTCCCCCTCTGAGGGCACAACCGCTAGTTAGCTTCTCTGTGAATAAACTGTCTTTTCTGTACAACTAAAATCCTTCCTGCTATAATTTGCATGAGAGGAAAGGACAAGAATATCATCTGGACGTTTTGATACTGGTTTGTAATAAAGGAAGGCATCAATGAGAGGAGGGAAGAAAACAACACAGATGCCAGTTTCAGGAACAATTTCGCCTGCAGCATCATCTGGCTCAATGAATTAGTGGCAAAGATATCACAAATGCTGTCAAAAACAGCAGTGAGGTTTTAACAAGCAAGCAAAATATTCACACAAATATCCTTTACTTTTAGTGTATCATATACTGAAATGGTAAGCACTTCTATTTAGAAAAAAATAATCTTTTTTTTTTCTTTTTTGGTTTTCATACATGTGATTGTTTCTAAATTCCATCAGGAAAGCATATAGCATTTTCTGTTTACCAACACTATATCTGTCCTGGTGCTGCCAGTCACAAGAGACCTTTTGTATCATTACTCCCTTACGTTCCAATTCTTCCTAGGAGTGCTGGGCACACACAAAAGCAACCTGGCAGTTACATCACTCTCTATAAATGAAAAAAAGACTCTGCTATCTAAAAATAAAAAAAGACTCCATTTAAATGAATGTTGTTTTTTTTTTTTTCCTTGGGTAGGTCAAGTGTTCACTTTATTTTGTAATAATGTAGTTCTCATCCAAGTAAGAATTCTCACTAGCTTTAAAAAGATCTCTGGAGATTATACACAGGGCAGTAATTTAATTCTTATATTTTTATTTCTGTGCAATGACATTTAGGGTACAGTGTGAGTTGAGATTTTTTGATGGTATTACTGACACCTTACGGAAACTGTTTCATTTGGAAATTCTGATTTTCTGTCCTTGTTTACAGTACGATTATAAAAATTGGTTTTTTTGTTCCTTTAAGATATTCACTCTTTTTCTATTTATTTCTCACTTGATTTCATAATTCTGTTTAGGTCACTATGATTAGTTGCTATGGAAATCACCTCCTATGGAAATGATTCCAATGTCATTATTGTAAGAAAATGACTTTTAATTAATAACATCAATAGCAGACATCAACTCTTACTAGAAAAAGGAAATCCGATTACAATATTTAAAAAGGACTAATTCTGAAAATTATTACCATGGCCAACTTTTCTGATATTTTTGAATCTGCCATCTGTTTTTAAAATAAGAATTAAATGAATTTTAAGGTGTTAATCAGCTACTCACTTCCCCAGATTCCAAAATCACAATGGAAATTAGCAGCACACATCGAAAAAAGTAGATGCAAGACCATTTCAGACCATTTGTCTAAACTAATGGATGTTATTCTTCACTTAATGAGAGTTAATGTCAATAGGACTTCAGGGCTCATCAAGGAAACAACTTTGAATAGCACATTATGTGTTCCCTTTAAAAATGAAGAATTTAATATTCCAAAATTTATCCCAAGAATTTAAAAGGTCAGGCCTATAAACTAGTGAGTTAAACAATAGGCGAGAGCCAGTGAACCATTAGATGAGAATTCCAGAATGCTAAGAAGAAAATTTTCTTGGGTGGATTCTATAATTTGTGGTTTGAATAAAACCTTTGAAACATTCCATTAGTATTAAAATTCTCACAATGAGAATATGGCTCATATTTAACACATTTTAAATTACTAGACAGTCTCTGCCCCAAAGAAATTTGAATGCTTTCTTCTGCCTAGTGCTTATTCACTGCCTGGTACTAATTTAGGAATAAATTAACCCTTCTAACAATTAGGATATTGTCTACAAACTGCCTCTTACACTCTGCAGGGAAAATCACTCATATTCTGAAAATCAGAAGTAAAAGAGAAAGCCGCTTCTTCAATATAAAATGGTTTTCTATACCTAATAGCTTATTAATTATTTATGTAAATCACTATTATACTTACTTCTATAATTACATAATAATACTACATTTATAATGCCTCTGAATTAAACCTCACAATTACAGATTTTGTTAAATGTATCACACATTAAGGGTTTTCTATACTTGCAACCATGATCTGGGGTCCAAAATGTCTTTGATGGATTTCTGCCTTGGGGTTGGCACTGGCTTGGCTTCAAAGCTGGTTTTAGTGTCTATGTGGTTACCATCAGTTAAACTCTCTCTCCTGGCAGGAAGCAGTTTTTGAGGAGCAGCTGTTGGCTTCTGTAAGTGGTGCATTAGGGTTGACAGTCTGGTCTCCAAAGGTGAGGTTCGGGGCGTACTTGTTTTTCCCCAGTCATCCTTAACAGGTTGTTCTGAGTTGCTCTGTGTTTTTAAGCTGAATGGAGGTTTATCAGAAGGAGGAAGAGGAGCCCGTCTCTTTTTCCCTTTCCCATCAGGTAGGTGTTCACTTTCAGGAGACAGTATCTTTTTCTGAATGACCATTTTATGCTTACCATCAAAGAGTACAGCCCAAGGAGGTGGGGAGGCTTCTTCTTGCTGACCAATAAGGAACTGTCCATCTGTCTCTTCAATTTTTTTTTGTATTATATCAGTTAAACTTTCAATTTTCATAGGTGAATCAATGCCTGTAGTAGTTTTTAGGAGAAAAATACATGGGGAAAAATTCAAAAGCAATATGCATATATCTAAGTAAGTTATTATTTTCCAAACTAATATGCTATTTATAATGGTTATCAAAAATTTAAGACTTTTCAAAAAGTAAGCAATATCTACTTGTCAAAACAGTCATATCAAAAAACAAGATCATGCACTGCACTACACACTCATTACACACATATATATGTACTGGTATGTGTATCTGTATACATGTACACACATGTAATACACAGTTTGTTAAACATACATAAAATACACAGTATATGTATAAAATACAAAGCATATTATCTGTATATAATACACATATACAGACATTCATAAGTAAAATCAAGCTATATGAGCACTTTTTAAAAGTTCCACAAGTTAAGTATTTATTAGAGAACTTTCTTGGATTAAAAACCCTATTCTGACTTTCAGGTAAGAGTGGACTCCCTTTTAACTAGTGATACATAAACTGGGATGGCTGGACTTGGATCAGAATTCTTTTCTGTAGGCCAGCAAAGTCTGTGTTAAAAGATAAAAAACAAAACACCAAAACTAAAGACCCAGGGAAATAAAGTACAATTCTCACATCACTCTGGTGATAAGGCTGCTGTGTGAAATTTTCCTCGAGAAAAATAAGAGAACAGAGATAAATGTCTATTAAATGAATCACTGGTATTTTCAAATGTGTAAACCCAAATGTGTCATTTTCTATCTAACATTTTAAAGTATATGTAAGAGGAGGTACATTAGTGGCAAACTGACTTGTGCTTGTTCACAACACTCTTTGCTGAGGCAATCCCACAAGGATAAATAAACACCCTTCAGAGTGTGAGAAAATGGAATATTAATGAGCCTAGAAATTTTAAATTTTGCAAACTATGAAAACTTAACCAATTTTTTTTGGGCTCACGATGAAAGCTTCCATTCATTAATATTCATCCAGCAACATTACTTACAAGTAAATTTAATAAAGTCCAGAAAAAATTACTAAACACAATTACATTTTAGAATCTAAAAGTCTGTATTTTCAAGTTTCATCAGCTACACAGCTAATATTTATCTTCAGTATACCTTTCACTCATTTTAAGCCTTAAAATTTTTGTGAGCTTGAGCAAACTATGAAATATGTGTATTCATTAATTTTGTATTAATTCATCTATTAAACATGAATTCCTTAGTCTATAATCATAGTCTGTTTTCATTCATTTTGATTGTGCCCTGAAAATTTCAGCATTTTAATGCCAATAGAATAAGCTGCTTGAGTATGGACAATGTTGTTTTTGTTACCCTGCAGCTAAGCAAACACAAACCCCACTTACTCATATCATGGTAGACTGAGGTCGCCTCTTTTGTCAAGAACAAAGGTGGTTTCCGTGGTGACATAATCTCAATTTTCATAAGTTCTTCACAACAGTGCTTCCACTGGCCTAAGTAAGACAGAAAAAGGGCTGTCTAGCTTAAGACATAAATGTAAAGACATATATTTGATTTTCAACAGATTATCAACACTTTTTTTTCTTTAAAAATTACAGTGAATTAAAGCATTGCCTAAAAGGAAGTTTGCACAAAAACCAAAATTTTAAAGTCTAATTCTGGACATAAAATTCACCTATTTAAAACATAAGGCTCTATGCACAGCTATTAAGGTAAGATTTCTAAGCTATTAAATACTACCCTGTTTCATTAAATGGTCACTGAGTACTTCAAAATTTCTATTCAGGGCAAAAGTTTATACAGGTTCTCTTTTAAACATTACATTAAAATATTCAGTATTCAAGACAGTTGAAAAGTAAAAATCAACTAAAATATAACTACCTAGAAGGCAGCAGAAAAACCATGTAAGGAATGGTGTTTCTCAAAAACGGTTTTAACTCTGAAAATTTTATTTAAGAAATGAGAATTGTTTATTTAACAGCTATTATGCCTTTCAAAATCATCTAACTCCAGGGCAGGAACTGTGTTAAGCCTCTGCCTGTGACACCAGCATCCCATGTGGGCACCAGTTCAAGACCCTGCTGCTCCGCTACCAATCTAGTTCCCTGCTAACATGCTTGGGAAAGCAGTGGAAGATGGCCCAAGTGCTTGGGTTCTTACATCCACATGGGGAGACCTGAAAGAAGCTCCAGACTCCTGGCGTGGGCCTGGCCCAGGACCAGCCATTGTAGCCACTTGAGGAGTGAACCAGCAGATGGATGACCTCTCTGTTGCTGTCTCTGTCTCTCCCTCTCTCTGTAATTATGTCTCTCAAATAAATAAAAAATAAATCTTAAAAAAAAAAACGTCATCTAACTCTGGAAAAACACCGTATTTTAATCTACGTAAAAGGCATATAAGATCTCTTAATATAAAGATATATCACCCCAAATTTGGAGTCTAATTTGTCTCAGGAAAGATATTTTATAAATAAAGCCATTACTCATTTGGAGTAAGACAAAAAATACTCTTCATTAAGTTGTTTCAACTGCTAAAATCTAAAAGTATGAACACTATTAATTTTTCTTTTACTTATGTTTTACTACTTTAATATTAAAATAAGATTTTCAGATTTATTTATCTGGAGTAGTTTTTAAAAAATTTAATCCTTCCAAATATACTGTTCACCTGCATGCATGCTGGGTGGGTTAGACATGATGAGTCTATACATTAATATTACAAACGTAAGTTGTTGAGGGTCACCATTCTTACATCCCATCTTACATCAGCAGAAAAGTAAATATAATATACCTCTGTGCCCTTTTACGCTGCTTTATGACACACATTTCTCTTCCTTTCCCTATATTCTCAATATCCATATTCAATATCCAACTTGGTTATTTTCCATGGCTTACACATTAACTTTATTTCATGTTTAGTCAAGTTATCCATTCATTATTGCTGTTTCAGATTGAATGTAATCTTTTGGTAAAATGGTAATACACATATAAATTTTTAATGTATCACCTTAAATAGTTAAGGAACATAAAAAAGCCTTTTAGCATGTTTTATTACAATGCTATACAGAATATGGTAAACATTTTAAAATAATCCAAATAGCAACTCATAAAGGGAATAAATTCCTGAGTATAAGCCTTCAAAGGCTGCGCTTCAGAATTTCAATCTAGCAGGATTTGAGATTGGGCAACTTATCCCTACCTCCACTTCCTTTTTATGATAAATATATAACAGTGAGTATTTTCTTCTTGGGGGCTGAAAAAGCAGTCCTTATCTAATGGAAAAATAATGAAACACTTAAAAATGGCAAACATTTCCCTGTCACTTTCTCAGATGAATTACTATAAACTACAGTATTTTCTCTATATTGATAGATGAAAACATTTCATTGTTAAACTACTAGCAGAATACTAATCATATTGAGAATTGGAGTATAATGTCACATTATTTCATGTGTTACTGAAGTCTGAGGCACAAATGTAGTATGTTCACTGGTCAAGACTTTACAATTGAGACATTTATTTTGCCAGTGAATTTGTTATACATGACAGCCAATAAGTTAACATGAAAACAAAGACCCAATATGAACTATTAAATGAGTATGTTTTATTCCCACAACAATCTATACACGGAAGATGTTTCTCATAATACTATTAATTATTACAATGTTCCTAATGTGATCTACTATGCTAAGCTGCTAATGTAACTCAATTTTTATTAAATATCAGAAAAAATTGGATTGTTGTCAGTCTATTTTAACATTTTATACTTTTGACCCACCAGTTCTAGCTCCAGTCCTATTGACGATCCACAAGTGTAGTTTCAATATTGAAAAGAGCATTAGATAACAAAGAAGCAGCCAGACTTGGGAACCAAGTTGTTATCCCTTTCCTATTTTACAATAAAAGTGTCATGAGACTATCATTCTTCAATTCATTACTGTAGCTCTATAAAATTATTTCCCATAATCTAGAAAATAGATATGACACCATCCACTAACAATAGTTGACATCCTGACTACAAGATTGTGGCATTATTATCTCATTTATCTCTTCTTGTTTTAATGCACATAGAGTTTATAAAATACCAGAACTATTTCTAAAAATAATGAAGTCTTTTGGGGCCTACCATAGTGGCATAATGGATTAAGCTGCTGCCTGTGGAACCATCCTGGATGAGTAAGTCTGAATCCTGGCTGCTCCACTTCCAACCCAGTTCCCTGCTAACATGCCTGGGAAAGTAGTCGAAGATGGCCCAAGCACCTGTACCTCTGCACCCACATGGAAGACCCAGATGGAGTTCCAGGCTCCTGGCTTCAGCCTGGCCCACTCCCAAGCATTGAGGCCCTTTGGTGAGTGAACCAGCAGATCGAAGATCTCTCTGATGCTCTGTCTCTCCCTCCCTCCCTCTCTATCTGTGGCTCTGCTTTTCAAATAAATAAATAAATCTTAAAATAAATACAGTCTTTTATAAGAAAGACTCTCTAGGGTCTGGCACTATGGCATAGCAGGTAAAGCCACCACCTGTAGTGCTGGCATCCCATATGAGCGCCAGTTCGAATCCTGGCTGCTCCACTTCTGATCCAGCTCTCTGGTAAGGCCTGGGAAAGCAGGAGAAGATGGCCCAAGTCCTTGGGCCCCTGCATCCACGTGGGAGACCCAGAAGTTGTTTCTGGCTCCTGGCTTCAGATAGGCGCAGCTCCAGCTGTTGCAGCCAATTGGGGAGTGAACCAGCAGATGAAGACCTTTCTCTCTCTCTGCCTTTCCTTCTCTGTGTAATTCTGACTTTCAAATAAATAAATAAATCTTAAAAAAAAAAAAAAAAAACTCTCTAAGAGCATTAGGAGTGCAGCTAAAATTTAAACTACAATCAACCAAAGAAGGGAAGTTACTGTCTTTTAAGGTACACAGCTAAGATCTTCTGAAAGTTTATTTTTTTTAAGGATTTGTTCATTCATTTATTTGAAAGGCACAGTGGCAGAGAGAGGCAGAGACAGCCAGAAAGCCCAACAGACACAGGAACCTCCATCCATTGGTTCATTCCCCAGTGCTTGCAATAGCCAGGTACTCCACTTGGGTCTCCAACATGGGTGGGTGGAACGTCACTGTTGCCTCCCAGGCACGTTAGTAGGAAGCTGGACTGGATGCAGAGTAGCTGGACCTTCCACCAGGCACTCCAGTATGGGATGTGTGCAGAGCGGTGGCTTAACTCTACCACAATACCCATCTCCATTCAAATTTTGAATTAAAGAAATAACACAAGCTGATAAGCATGGGGCAGATATTTAAATATGTACTGAGTGCCTGGAGATGGCATTTAAAGAAAGTAAGTCTTAAAAAATCTGAGTAATTCATAGAAGGAATCTTCTAGTTTAATGCCACAAACCAGAACTTCTTCAGGTCTCAGTTTTCTCATCATTAGAGCAGAAGGAAGTAATTTCCACCTCAAGAGATGTTATGAGGAATAAATGAAGCCATCTGGCACATGAGGAGTAATCAGTAAATTTGTTCCCTTTTTGCCTCCTTCCTGACTTTCACCTCCTTCCTGACTTGGACACCGTGGATCCAAGCAGGCCTATAAAAATTAACCTAAGAACTGCAGATAGTAACTCTTCATGGTGTTCCAGAAAACAGCTTTCTTAAAATGTTCTTTAAGATTATTTCTAGGAGATGCAGAGAAAACTTTCCATTGTCTGGAAATGGCTCTACTCTGTAATTCTACGGAGTGGCACTCTATAGACATGAAGTGTCAGTTAAATGTAATAGTAGGCTTACTTTGATCTTGTGATCAAATGGCTATTTGTATAGCCATCATCAAACTTCCTCATCATTCACAAAATATTTCAGACAGTAAATATGCTGTAAATTTACTGTCAGTAAAGACAAAGAACTGTTACAATTTATGTATTTTCTGGCTGATAAAATTCTTCTTTGAGAATTAAATATTAGAATCCTCTATTTTATACACTGGAACCCTATTACTATCACACTGTTTTTATAATCCATGTCATTGGACTGTATTATTGAAACAGAAGAATCATATGCAAGGTTTAAAAAACAAAACAAAACACCTCTCTGGATGATTTCAAGATGATATTATAACAAATCTGGAGTTAACAAAAGGCTATGTAAAAATGAGGCTCCATCTGAACATTGCAATATTTCAAGATCATCATTATCCTGGAAAAGTTTTTTGTTCCTCAAATGCCTTCTTATCCCGTAGATCAAACACATTGTCTGAAGCAGCCAAAAATCTATTATTGTGAAAGACTATGGTGTGATTGTTTTACGTACCAAAGAAACTTAAAAGTATGAGGAAAGGAAGCCAGGAATTCAAAGGTGTACAACATGATAGTCAGGCATTAGAAAGAGAATGAGAGAACAAAGCATCAGTGCATTGATGATATACTACCATTCTTTCAAGAGTACAAAAATTATTGCTACAAGCTGTAAGATTAAAAATTTAATATTTAGATTGCAGTGTGCATCCTTTCAGGATACATGAATATACAACTAGAAAATCCAGATATTTGCTTACTAAGATCAAAGAAATGCTGCCAGAAGGCTTCCATCCACTTCTGAAGATCTTCTCTACTGTCAACTGTAAAAATCTGAGTGATAGCTTGTCCAGCAACAGGGTTGATGACAGAGAAACTATGGATTCTTTTCTTGGTATCTTTATCCATTGCTCGAATTCTGGTTTCCTAAAAATTAACACAAATTTGGTAATTTTCAAGAGGCTATTTCTGTAATGATCTAACAAAATTTTTTTTGCTTGGCTGCCATATTTATACCAGATGTGTTGTAACACTATTGCTGATCATCTAAAATTTAAAATATCCAAATTCGAGGATTTTCATCATTCAAACCCAAGTATAGGTTCATATAAAAAAATGCTGTATATTAAAAAAATTATGCTTCAAAGCATGCTACATTTAGTACTTATACTAAATTACATGAGATTAAAACATAACCTCTGTTTTGATCTATCTCAGTTTAAGTGAGAGTTTGCTGTCTTTTATACACGTCTTAAAATTTTCAATAAAACAAATACAGCATGTCATAACTGTAATGTAGATTATATGTTAACTGTATTTCCAACAGTAATGTAACAGCAGAATCAGTAAAGTGTTTCTTACTCCAATATTCATGCATATTATATAGTGTTATCAGCTAAAACAGTAAAACCATAATTCAGTGTTTACTGCAGCAAAACAGTTAGCTTTTCCTCATTAACATTTATTTCACATGTAACATTCATTTACAAAGCTCATAGCTAAAGATCCATAAAGTAATATAACCCTCATAATGTTAAAATTATTTCATTTTAAATGCTGAATACAATCCTCTACAGCAGCCAAAGCAATGGTTCCACTGATGCTGACAATCTCAAACTTGTTTCTGAGTGGTTGTAGGTGTGATATGTGATGACACCCATTGTGCCTACATGTAGAATGGAAGAAAAAAGTCTGTTCCCAAGTCACACACAGGTTCTGCCATGACAAATGGCAAGCTAGCAACTACATGTATTTTAGACCAAGAAATTTGTGCGAATAAAGCATGGAATAGAATTTTTTTTTTATTATACAAAGATAGAGATTTGGCTTTTATATTATTCTAAGGCACTACTGCCCAACAGAAATACCATTCAAGCCATATATGTAATGTAAACTTTTCAGAAACCACATTTTAAAATGTGAAAACTGGTAAAATTAATTTTAATATGTTTTATATAAATCAACATAACCAAAATATTATCACTTTCACATATAATTGATTTAAAAAATTGGGATTTTTAAATTCTTTTTCAGATTAAGTCTTCAAATTCTCATTTATATTTTCCATTTAAAGCATATCTCAATTTAGATGAGCCACATTTTAAGTGCTTAGCAGCTACTGCAGACTAATGGCCACTCTGCTATAGATATTCTGGCTGGCAGACAGCTGGTTAACTGGAGGAAGAGGATTCTTTACTGCATACAGAGCAAAGAGAGCATATACAGTCACACATCAAAACCTACATATACTATATAGAGAAATATAAAGAGTTAGGAAGTAAAGCTACATATTCCCTGAAAAACAGGTAAATACAGATAGGTGCACACCAAACAAGGGTACTTTAAAAACTTGGTGGAAACATGGAATTAAAAAACAAGTTTATTTTGGTGCAAAAAATTTAAGTCCACATATACGCGAGGTTTTCAAAAAGTTCATGGAAAACCAGTTCTCATGTAATAGAATTCTTATTCAAAAACCATGTATGTTTAAAAAACAGAAACTTAACTCTAAAGAATAGAGCATCACTAAATAGAAATATTGGTGGCCATCTCTTGGACAGTCTATACTGTCACTGCAGAAATCTAGGAATGTTAAGTGTCTTTAGAGGATCCTAATGGGACTACGGCCAGCATCTTACATCTATCATAAGTGGGTCTTTTTATACTCCTCTGCCATGGTAATATGTTTTGCAGTAATTATTCATACAATATAAAAATACGCTGCCCTAGATGGCCTCCTTAGAATTGAAAGATGCATCTAATCACCCTCTTTAAATTATGAAGCTTATTGTCACCAGCAGAGAGTGACTTAACTCTCAGAAGAATTTTTGACCTTTTACTCCAGAAGACGAACTGAAGGCTGAATCACAGTGGGGGAGAACACTCCACTGTTGTTCATATTAAAAGAATTTTTAAATGAACTACTGTTATTTAAAATTATGCATCCTACCACCTAATTCCATCTTAATGCAAATTGTTGACTATATTTGTATTTAGGATTAAAATGGATTCAACTTTTAAACTGGAAAGTGTGACTTTTATAGATGAGTGTGTATGTGTGTGTATGTGTATATATATATATATATATATATATACACCAAAGCATCATCTCAAGTGAAACTGCTATGTAGAAAATCTGATAAAACAGATCATTCACATTCTCCTAAGAGAATATAATGCAATAATATGTAAATATTATACAATCTATTAACTATGATAACCATATATACCATTACATTTTTAAAACAGGAGAGGTTCTTAAAAGGTGCAAAGAACATGTGGAATTTGAATCTATATATATAGTTTATCATACAAAATAATTTAATGAAAAAATTTTTAGCTAAAAAAAAAGTCAAAGAAAAAGTGATTAGAACAACTAAAGTTTCTGAGAATGTAAAAAAGTTCATGCAAGTTGTTTTTCAGAATGGACAAATATCATTTATAATGCTCAGGTCTTCACAACTTACAGGAAATAAATGATTAGAAATAAATAAATAATTAGAAAACACTAAGTTGAATTTCAGGATTGTCATCATTATAGATAAGGGAAGGATCTTCTTTTAACAGAGTATAAAAACAAGGAACTCAGGCCTTACCCCCAACCCCAACTAATTCCTATTACCTAATGTATTATCTAGCACCAAGTAGCTGAAAAATGTTTAACGAATGAATGAATGACACAGAAAATGATAAACAGGCCTTGCATTGACAAGACTCCGATTCTAGAAATAATATATCTGATACAACCCTTTAAATTATAGATGAGGAAGCACATGTTTTGAGAAGTGTTCTATCTAAGGCCAGAGTTTCCCATTTTCTTTTTGCTAATCCCAAAACTGATAGTTGATTTGAGAGTTTTTAGTTGACTTTATTAATTTGTAGATATATTTGAGTTTACTGTGAAACTGTAATCGCTCACTGGCTTTGCTTCTGTCAATCAGTATGTACTAAAGTGTAACCTTCCACTGCACCAGACACTGGGGTTATAAAGAAAAGGCCAAGTGAAGTCAGTGAAAACAATCTGAAAAGTCACTTTGGCAATAAAACACACTAAACTCTAAAGTCAAAGAAATGTTTTAGGTTTTTCATTATTTTGAATTAAAACTGTACTTTAACCTCTCCATTTCTGTCCAAATGGAAAATTACTAGATCAGAACTAGATTTGGAAATAGTTTTTTATTTTCCCTTTGACTACACGATCTCACAAAAGTCTACCATAGGAACCAGATTATGGTCTTCAAATACTCTTTCTTACAATAAAAGAATCAGAGCTCTTGGGAGAAATGGCTGACTCCCAGCCTAGGTCAAGAAAGTTGTAAAATTAGATTCAGGAGCATCTCGTCCTATCAGAAATGAAATATTACTAGCGTTGTGTTAGGACTCAAGAGGCAATAGAAATTTTCTTATGTAACAAATGGAATATTTATAGGTAAAATGAAAATGTTCTCTATGACTTGCTTCAAAACAACTCTCAGGTAGAGGCAATATGTGAGGATAAAAATAGGTTCATACTATTGGTTGCATAAACTGCCTTGAAATTTTCCCCCAAAACTATATATATATAAAACAAACAAAAAATCCAAAGTCTATTACTGCCTCTTTTTAAAATCTGTAATGCAATGGAAAGCTAAGACACTGTGACAAAAAAAAAAAAAAAAAAAATTGACCTAAATGAAAGATCTCTGCGAGTGAGATCCAAGCAGAAAGAACAGGCCATTAGAGAAAGAGGTACCTTTCTCTGAAGGGAGGAGAGAACTTCCACTTTGATTATGGCCTTGTCTAAATAAGATCAGAGTTGGCGAACTCAAGAGGCTTCCAATACCTTGGCAGCTCAAGAGCCTCAGGTGATTACTGACGTCATAAATAAGAGTGTCAATTGTTAAATCAACAACAGGAGTCACTGTGCACTTACTCCCCATGTAGGAGCTCTGTCCTTAATGTGTTGTACTATGTGAATTCACGGTATAACTAGTACTCAAACAGCACTTTATACTTTGTGTTTCTGTGTGGGTGCAAACAGATGAAATCTACTTAATATATACTAAATTGATCTATGTATATAAAGACAATTGTAAATGAATCTTAATGTGAATGGGATGGGAAAGGGAGTGGGAGATGGGAGGGTTGCGGGTGGGAGGGAGGTTATGGAGGGAAAAAGCTGCTATAATCCAAAAGTTGTACATTGGAAATTTATATTTATTAAATAAAAGTTAAAAAACCTGTAATGCATATCATATTTTACATATTCCTCACAAACATGTTGTAAAAATAAATGAATTATGGGGCAGCCATTTAGCCTACTGGTTAAAACACTGCAACCTCCATCATAGCACTTGGGTTTAAATCCACCTCTGGCCCCCGACTCCTGCTTCCTGGTAACATGGAACCTGGGGTGCAGCAGACAGGGCTCAAATAATTGCATCCTTGCCACACCAGGTGACAGATGTGGACTGAGTTGCAAGCTACTTGTTTTAGTCCAGTTCAGTTCTAGAAATTGTGTGCTTCTCCCTCTCTGTCAAATAAATAAACTTTAAAAAAGAGTTTTGGGGCTGGCACTGTGGCACAGCGGGTAAAGCCACCGCCTGCAGTGAGAGCATCCCACGTGGGTCCCAGTTTGAGTCCCAGCTGCTTGCCTTCCAGTCTGCTTTCTGCTATGGCCTGGGAAAGCAGTAGAAAATGGCCCAAGTCCTTAGGACCCTGCACCCATGTGGGAGACCTGGAAGAAGCTCCTGGTTCCTGGTTCCTGGCTCCAGATCAGCTCAGCTCGGTTCCAGCTGTTACAGCCAACTGGGGAAGTAAACCAGTGTGTGGAAGACCTCTCTCTCTGTCTCTGCCTCTGCTTTTCTCTCTGTGTAACTCTGACTTTCAAATACATAAATGAATCTTTAAAAAAATAAAGAAAAAGAAGTAGACATAAGCGTTAAAAAAGAAATTTCCAGACAATTTAACAAAGGCCTATCACATCAATTAGTATATTGACTTGTTTGGCACAGATTAGATTATTAAAATAAGTAATAGATAGTATCTAAATCAAGAAAAGACTATTGATCTAAAAAATTCCAATTTCTTTTCTATCTCCCTCTCCCTACACTGTCAATGCATAAAGCTTTGGCTAATAAAATGCCTTCTACTATATACAGGAGATTCATCTAAGCACCCTTATTGAGAATGTCCTGCTCAACAACAATCATAGTGAAGGTTTCTGAAGTTGAAGCAATCACTTTGAAGTAAATCACCCTTTCAAATTTGGATTGGAAAGGGGAGGGCAATAGCTTTTAGGCTTTTCTTCCCTTAATGTGACTATTTCCACAGATGGCTCCCTATGAAAATTAATGAACTGACTTAGCCTTACAGGAAATGCCATTTAGAAGGACATGAATTATAGTTAGGGAACAGATCCTGTGATCAAAATAACACAACTATTATTTATAGACCTTAGCAAGTACGAAATTTATGTTTTCATATAATTTTTAAAGTGACATTAAACAAAATTATTATTTTCTAAGACAAGAGGCAATCAAAAGATGAGGAACTCTGATTTCTATTTAATGTTTAACATTATTAAGCTTAAAAAGATCTTAGAGACCTAGCACTGGATATAAAAACAAAAGCATTATCCTTAAATGTTTTACTTGGTCCTTCCTTGCTGTATCAGAAAATTCCAAACTAGTGTTCATTAAAAACTCTTCGTCTATTTAAAGAACATAATAATAGCATTGTGTCCCTTAGAAATTTCCAAAGCAAAACAATTAAAACAACCAGCTTATATTTAAAAGCCATTTGAAACACTGAAGAGATGTTAACTTTTTAAAAATTTTTATTTACTCATGATAATTTTATTTAAAAGGCAGATAGAGATCTTCCATCTGCTGATTCACTACTCCCCAAAGGCTGACAACATCCAAGATTAGGCCAGGTCATACCTAAGCTAGGAGCCTGGAACTCAATCTGGGTCTCCTATGTAGGTGGCAGAGACCCAAATACTTAAGCCATCACCGCTGCCTCCTAGGGTATGCAACAGCAGGAAACTAAAATTGAAAGCAGAGCCAAGACTCAAACCCATACATTCTGATATGCGATGCAGGTATCCCATGTGGCGTCTTAAACACTATGCCAAGTGCCCAGCTCTTAAGAGATTTTAAAAAGTCTGTGATCATTTACAGTCCTCATCTATTGTTGAGGACCAGTGTTTTTGTCTTCATACTATTTGTTCAACTTTCGACTTAGTGTAGGGTTAATATTATAAGGTAAACTGAAAATAGATCTTTGTAAAAAGTCAGGAGTGGGAATAGAAGAGAAAGGAAAAGGAGGGGATGAGACTGGGGTGGGAAGTATCACTATCTTCCTAAATCTGTATATATGAAATATGTGAAATTTATATACCTTAAAAATTTTTTTTAAAAAGTCTGAATTTACCCTGATACGAATGAAAGTTTGGGTGGAGAAGGGAGGGAGAGGGATAATATCAACTTCAATATACATTATCAATACCAAAACAGTACAGATTCTTAACACCAGTTCCTTACTGTGAAAATTGGTAATTAAGAAATTCACAGGATGTACTATGGTGTATATGTTTGTCATCACCCATGAGATATCCCAGCACAATTTATTTAAAATAAATTTTGCCGGGCCGGCGCTGTGGCTCAATAGACTAATCCTCTGCCTGCGGTGCCAACACCCAGGGTTCTAGACCCAGTTGGGGCGCCAGATTCTGTCCCAGTTGCTCCTCTTCCAGTCCAGCTCTCTGCTGTGGTCTGGGAGGGCAGTGGAGGATGGCCCAGGTGCTTGGGTCCCTACACCCGCATGGGAGACTGGGAGGAAGCACCTGGCTCCTGGCTTCGGATGGGTGCAGTGCCAGCCATGGCGGCCATTGAGGGAGTGAACCAAGGGAAGGAAGACCTTTCTCTCTGGGTCTCTCTCTCACTATCTATTAACTCTACCTGTCAAAAAATAAAAAAAGTTGTATATTAAAAAAAATAAATTTTGCCAACCCTCCAGATATCTTTTATAGTTCAGAATAACTATAGAAGATACATAATCCTAGAAGTTTTAGACTGAAAACACCACAAGATACACAGCAGACTCAAAGAATGGCAGATGTCCTAAACAGCACGGAAAGTCAAGACACTCTGACAAAGTAAAAACAAAACAAAACAAAACAAAACCCCTAAATGAAAAATCTGTGAGAGCCCAGCAAAAAGAACGAGCCATCAAAGAAGGGGGTACCTTTCTCTGAAGGGAGGAGAGAACTTCCACTTTGATTATGGCCTTGTCTAAACAAGGTCAGAGTTTGTGAACTCAAGAGGCTTCCATAGCCTTGACAGCTCATGACAAGAGCCTCAGGTGATTACTGACATCATAAATAAGAGTGTCAATTGTTAAATCAGCAACAGGAGTCACTGTACACTTACTCCCCATGTAGGAGCTCTGTCCTTGATGCATTGTACTCTGAGGATTAACGGTAAAAATACTCTTCAAACAGCACTTTATACTTTGTGTTTCTGTGTGGGTGCAAACTGTTGAAATCTTTACTCAGTATATACTAAGTTAATCTTCTGTATATAAAGATAATTAAAAATGAATGTTAATGAAGAAGGGGATGGGAGAGGGAGTAGGAGATGGGATGGTTTGCAAGTGGGAGGGTGGTTATGGGGGGAAAAACTGCTATAATCCAAAAGTTGTACTTTTGAAATTTATATTTATTAAATAAAAGTTTAAAAAAAAGAAATGTATAACAAAGAAAAAAAACATAGAAAGAAAATTTGAGAAGAATGGGGAAATTTGAAAATTGATTGGATATTAGATACATTAAGGGAATTACTGCAAATTTTCTTAGTTGTGATAATGATATCATAATTATGTATATACATTGTGTGTGTTTGTATGTATATATGTATATATACACACTTTCCTATTTTTAAGAGTTAATATGTTGAAGTATTTAAGAGTGAAGTGTCATAATTTGGAGTCCTATATTCAAATGACTAAGTGAAAAATCTACATAAGATGACAAAGCAAATATGACAAAATGTTAACTCCTGAATCTAGATGGTGAATATGAGCATTTTTTTCTTACACACCTGAAATTACACATTTTATAACTTGAGATAAAAAAAACAAAAACAATTACTGTAATTGGAGAAATAATTGTAGAATAGTAATGCTTTAAGAAGTAACCAATAGAGACAAGCATTGTGGAACAGCAGGTTAAACCGTCACCTGCAATGCCAGCAACCCATATGAATGCAGGCTCGCGTCCTGGCTGCTGCACTTCTGATGCAGCTCCTTGCTAATGGCCTAGAAAGCAGCAGGAAGATGGCCTCTGTGCTGGGGCTGCTCCCACTCATGTAGGAGACCCTGCTGGAGTTCCAGGCTCCTTCATATGGCTTCCACCTGTCCCAGCCCTGGCTGCTGTGGCCATTTGGGGAGTGACCAAGTGAATGGAAGATCAATCTCTCTCTCACTCCAACTCTGACCTTCAAATAAATAAATAAATCTTTTTTTTTTTTTTAAATAAGTAACATATTTCTCACCTGGGGTAGCATTTGGCATATTTGAATAAAAAGATTAATGACATTTACTAATAAGTAGGATGTTTTCAGGTGAATAGATATGTTCAAAAGAAACATTAGGTAGAAATAGGAAAGAGAAAAATGGAAAGGTTTTTTTTTTTTTTAAATTCAGTGAAGATTTTTTTTTTAAGATTTTATTTATTTGAAAGACAGAGTCACAGAGAGAGGTAGAGAGAGAGAGGGGTCTTCCATCTGCTGGTTCACTCCCTGGATGACAATGGCTGGAGCTGTGTTGATCCAAAGCCAGGAGCCAGGAGCTTCCTCCAGGTCTCCCACTTGGGTGCAGGAGCCCAAGGACTTGGGCCATCCTCCACTGCTATCTCAGGCCATAGCAGAGAGCTGGATGGGAAGAGGAGCAGCTGGGACTAGGACCGTCGCCCATATGGGATGCCGGCACTTCAGGCCAGGGCTTTAACCTGCTGTGCCACAGCGCTGGCCCCAGAAAGTTTTTTAGTTTCATCTTTGAAATTAACAATTAAACTGTAGTGATTCACTTCCTAATTTAACTTTAAAATTCTCTTTTGTACTTTAAGCAAAAGGCATGTGCAATGGAAGAGATACTTAAGTCACAGGGGCAAATACAGCCAACAGTGTTCCCAAGTCTAAGTGTATACAAATGGCTAGACCTGTGCATGCGTACAGGTCAACTGTGGAACAACTGCTGGGCTTCCTACATATGCTGATTCAGTCATCTAAACCATGGCACGGACTGCCTACAGAATCCATCAGTTGCCTGCCATCAGCCTTTATCACCACAAGGAAAATAAATCAATTAAAATAGGTCAACTTAGATCATGGAGACGCTGTCACCACTTTCCTAGAATAAGGTCTTTGTAATTGGACAGGAAATACAGATGCACTGGCTATAATGACAGAAGAGATTGATTATGAACGTCCTCTGGATCCAGTGCTGTGGCTCAGTGGGTTAAACTGTAGCTTGTGATGCCAGTACCTCATTCTGGAGGGCTGGCTTGCTTTACTTCGGATCCAGCTCCCAGCTAATGCTCCTGGAAAGGCAGTGGAGCATGTCCCAAGTACTTGGACCCCTGCCCCCCACACAGGAGACCTGGAGGGAATTCTTGGCTCCTACCTAAGGCCTGCATCAGACTGTTATGGCTGTTTTGGGGGTGAACCAGTAGATGGACGATCTCTGTTTCCTCCTGTCTCTCCCCCTCTGTGATGCTCTGCCTTTCAAGTCAATAAATAAATCTTAAAAAGAAATAATAAACGTCCTCTTAAGTTTAAATGGCCGAGTCAACATCTACTATCAATTACAGGTCTATTGTAACTTCAAGCTCAGAAATTCATTCAGAGTTATTTTTTACTTTCAAAACGAATTCAGAGCAGATATGGAAATGGGAAAAAGCCCTCCAACCTAGCCCAGCAGGATGTCGATAAGAACACAGAAAAGCAGATCAGGAATTTTTACCCATGTCCCCACCCCACCCCCCATTAGAAAAAGAAAGCCATACGATTTTCCTTGCTTGCTTGGTGAGTTCTATCTGATCTCTGAGCCTATTTCTTCACTATAAGACAGAAATAGTATACTACACAACAGGGCTGTGACATCTGCTTTGCCTACCTTGAAGGTAAGAGAAAAGTAAGATGAACACCTCAAAGACTGTCTTCAAGTAAAACAAATGATTTTTCAGCCCTTAAGGCATTCAGATCTGGCTGAAGAGCCCATGAGAGTATTTTACGCATGGAAAGCCAAGACACTCTGGGGAAAAACAAACAAACCAACCAAAAAACAACACCTAAATGAAAGAAATGAAAGATCTCCGCGAATGAGATCCCAGTGGAAAGAACGGGCCATCAAAGAAGGAGGTACCTTTCTCTGAAGGGAGGAGAGAACTTCCACTTTGACTACGACCTTGTCTAAATAAGATCGAAGTCGGCAAACTCAAAAGGCTTCCATAGCCTTGGCAACTCATGACAAGAGCCTAGGGAGATTACTGACGCCATAAACAAGAGTGTCAATTTGTTAAGTCAACAACAGGAGTCACTATGCACTTACTCCCCATGTAGGATCTCTGTCCTTAATGTGTTGTCCAATGTGAATTAATGCTATAATTAGTACTCAAACAGTATTTTACACTTTATGTTCTATGTGGGTGCAAACAGATGAAATCTTTACTTAATATATACTAAATCGATCTTCTGTATATAAAGAGAATTGAAAATGAATCTTGATGTGAATGGAATAGGAGAGGGAGCGGGAGATGGGAGAGGTAGAGTGGGAGGGAAGTTACGGGCAGCGGGGGGGAAAGCCATTGTAATCCATAAACTGTACTTTGGAAATTTATATTTACTAAATAAAAGTTAAAAAAAATAAAACATGATTTTTAAAATATCCCATGTTTAGATTACATTTTAATTGTTTATGACTGTCCATATTCTACAGTGTGACATTTCAGGGAAAAAATTGCTAGAATTCCATTTTTATCACCCAGCTATATACACATTAGACAAAATCTCATGTTTAGAGCACTTGTCAAAAACATTTCATCTCAATCTAATGAAAATTATTCACTTGTAGATTTGGGGACAATTTAAGGAGGGAATTTGCCTGAATCTTCAATAACGTCAATGAAATGAAAGACCAAAAAATAAAGGCAGGAGGTAAAGGGTAGGGCATGCTTCAGATGAAAGCAAACAAAAATCGCAGTGACCATGTACAATTTTGGTCCTTGATGGAGTCTTGGATCAAACAAGAAATAAAAATTAGAACATTCCAGGAACAGCTGGGGCAGTTTGCTCTTAATATTAGTATTACACCAACAACAAATCTGAGTGTAAGAATAATATGGTTATGAAGAAAAATGTCCTTGGTTTTAGGAGAAACACTTCGAAATATTCAGAGAAGAAATATTATGCTGTTTGAAACTGATTTTCAAATGGTTCAGAAAAACATTGTTAACTAGAAAGAAAGCAAATGTAGTAAAATGTTAATAATAGCTAAGGAAGGCTAGGTGAAGGGTATACAAGAATTTATTATTCTATTTCAGCTTTTCTGTACATTTAAAATTTTCAAAGAGACCAAAGTGTGGAAAAGTGGGAGGAAAGACAACATTGTAAAAACAAAATAAAACAGAACAGCATACTTAAAGTAACAAAGTTAAATTAGTTTTTTAGGACTTGAAAAATATTATAAGGGTAATGAAAAAGCATGTTAATTTTTCAACAGATAATTTCATAAACCTAATTTTCTAAGACAAAATACATTCTCTATGCAACAATATTGAGGTATTGTTGTACACTATTTAAGAGCAATGGTAATCTTTCTAATAAACAAAATAACTAAATTATAGACCTAAATTATATAATAAGAGGTCTCTCTCAGAAGTTTCTTTTAGATAAAAAGTAGTATAATTTATAAAAACAGGACAGACCAAAACATTATTGGAAAAGAGATTGGAAATAAACACAACTCCTTATAGATGAACAGTCTGGTAACCACACAGAACTATTTCTAGAACAAAATTATTATATAAAAACACATGTAAATTCACATTTTCTTTCTCTCTCTTTCTCTCTCTCTCTCTTTGGTTTATCACTGTTGTTTTATTTACTTATTTTAAAAAAATTTTATTAACATGTAGATCTTATTCACCTTTATGGGGCACCAAGCAGTATATGAACAGATACAATGTAAAATAATCAAATCAGGCTATCAAAACCTCCACCCCCCACGCTTCCTCCATGTTGGAGGTCTACCAGCTCCTCTCCTCTAGAAATTCTGTATGGGGCATAATACATTATTGTGACCTATAGTGGCCCCACTGTGCCATCAAACTCTAGAACCTATTACTTTCTATCTACATCTTGGCACCCTTCATCCAACCTCCTTCTATACTCTTTCCAGCACCTGAAATTTTTCTTTAAAAAAAAAAAATTCAAAGACAAGTAGAACATGTATATTTAGCAAATGTGACAGACCATATTTTGTATCATACACTTCAATTCAACCACTCCAAAGTAAACAACTAGAAACAATTAAGTACAGTCTATAAGCAGAAAACATGGTATTTTCTCTAGAATTGCCACTAAAAGTATTCTATAAAAATCTTCTAATAAATACTTGATTAGGCTAACAGATGAAGATAATTTAAGACAGTTGGATAAAAGAAACCAAGTCTGCCTTATTTCCTATAGAAGTTTAAATGAAAGATTCAAACTAAATTTTAGCAATCTCTTTTGTATCAAACCAACATATATAATATAGATACATTTGGCAGACTCTGTAGGTGATGTAGTACTTCTTTTTTCATGCAGTAAAGCACTCAGATACTCTAACTATTGTCAGGCTTTCCTGTCCTGACAGAAGATTGGACAAGTGCCCACCAATACCATAAGAAACCATAAAATATAGACAGGAATGTCTGTTTATAAGTTCATTTGAATAGTAACTAGAAAGAGCATCACTGTAACATGAGCTAACAACTGATGTTTATAAAATCTTTTAAATCAATTTATTCATGAGAAATTTAAATATCCTGTTAATGTAGAGTTACATTCCTGCTTAAAAACCTATTTACCGGTATAGATTTCCATTGTTATGTTTTGTTAGGAAATACACAGTCTTTCCATTAATGGATAAGCTCTGAAAGAAAAATGACAGATCAAATTATCTTTATGGACTAACCTGTTTTTAGCAATCTTTCCCATTTCTTTATGAGAAGGCAAGAACATGAATTGCATAAGCAAGAATAAACTTAAACAATGATGAATTTACTTTCAAAATAGCAACTCATTTACCTTGTTAACAGGCACTACCAAAGTTGGTTCCACTTTAGCATCAATTTCTTCTGGACTGTAAAAGCAGTACAGCTTCCCCCCTCTCAAAACACAATACAACCTTCTCCAGCTAATCAGACCTTCTACCATTTGCTGAAAAAAGAAAGAAACTATCAAGTTCAAATCATTATCACCTTAACTCTAAATTCAACAAGATATTGAAGTTATCAAAGTTAAATTAGATTTTTAAAACTTGTAAAATGCAACAGAATTACCCATTAATTTGTTGCACAATAAGTCTAAGTGCCCAAAATCCAAGAGGAAGTTAATACCATAAGTTTGGAATTCTAAAAAGCATTAAGCAAAACGAAGGTAATGATTACCACATAACTCTTACACACATAAAATCATAAATCAATGCAGTTTTTAAAAAGCTAGTCTATTAAAAATTAGTGCTTAGAATTCCACAGCAATTCATCAAATGACTCAGAAAAACTATAAAAATAACTCTCAGTGTTCAAAATACAATTTTCCCTTACTGTTCTCAGAACATTAGAAAATGTTGACTAACGTAAGAATGCAAATTTTCTTTCCTCCTAATGGAATCTTTTAGAAAAAGCTATTGATTCATTGAAGCCACAATTAATTATTTACTGAATATAAATAACTCTGGTTATAAATAAGTCAGGAGTAGGTGGCTCAGAGGCAGCTTTGCAAGCCCAGAGGCCTAACCTGTGCCAACGAAGCCTGCCAGAACGGCCTGTACGTGAAAGGTGTCGCGCCGTTCTCACCAGTTCCACCAGGAGCTCCTGCCACTGCTCACTTTCCAGCTACGTCTATTAACCATGTAGGGGGCTCGGAGAGGTGGCTCCAGGGCACGGGCACAGCATTAGAACCCTCTCCTTGCCACCCCTGCCCAGTTTATGTCTGATAATGGTCAGAAAAATCACATTTAAAAAAAAAAAAGACCTAACTAAAACACCTCTCAATATGAGAAGGTAAAACAGCTGCTACTACGCTAAGATGGAAAGCGGAGCTACAGCTGCTGTAGGGTATGGACGGGTCCTCTAACCTGCTGATTAAGAAATCCTGCAAAGGCATCCTCAGCCATACAAGCTGGCTGGGCGACCAATCGGCAGCACATGTTGCCATAGAGGGGAAGCCAGAATGAGGACTCCTCTATGGAAAGGAGAGAAGAAAATTCAGTTACAAATGTAAATTACGTTAAGGTCATCACACATTGTGGTTTATTTTTCTTGTTACAATTTTTTTATTTATACATGAACATACTTCAAAATTTTTATAGAAAGGTTTATCCTGCTAGAACACCAATACAATATTTAATGACAAAATCAAATGAGAAAGCAGTGAAGACAGCATGATATTAAGCTGATAGCTAACAGCATGCTATCACTTGGAATAAACAGGGACCTTTTAGTATCTTGATCTTATTTGATCTTAAAAGTAATTACCCAATGGAGATAGTTCATAAGATATAAGTAGCCTTGTTTAACATTAAAAAACATTCTAAGAAAATGATTTCTCTGTCAAATTTTACTTCTTGCCCCCTCACTATAATAATTAGCACAGTAATCCTCCAAATAATACATCGTTTCAGAGAACTTTATAAAGCAAAACTGCTTGCCCTTCCTGAAGTCACCCTTAAGCCCTAGGGGTAACCCCCAAGATGGGCATCTGTACAGGGCTGGAGGGTGAGCTGTGGTGTGCTAGGGCAAGTGCTGGGACCAGGCAGGCTGAGGGGAGGGGGGAAGGCAGCCTGCATCAGGCATCAGAGCTGGAGTGGGCCTAGAGGACATCTCACTGGGGCACAGCCTAGCGTGGGGAACCTGTTCTGACAAGCACACTGAGGAGGGTGTGTGGGTAGGGCAGCCTGAGAGTGGGGTATTATATCCCCAGGGAGATCTGTACTCAGGGACAGGTGGGTGGTGAGGAAGCTATCCAGGCATGGGCAACACGGCAGGGTGTTAAGTCTAAGTGCAAAAAGGGCACGTAGGCTTCCTTGGAGGAATGACTGATTCCATGAGCTGGAATATTCTGGGAGGCCACCGAGCAAGTGCTCAAAGAGTGATGTCATAAAGACACAGAAGTCATCTCAAATGGGTTCCCACTGGCCCAATTGGGGATCATTAGAACCTCAAAATAAACAATGTTATTTATAGATTATGATGCCTCAAATTAAAGAGAAAGCATGAGTCCAAACTGATGTAAATAAATCAATGAATAAACTGAAAATCTTATAAGAAATAGTGTACTTACATTGTTTCAAAGCACTTCCTGCTCACCAGACATATGTATTGATTACAAAAAGGGAAATTACAAAAAGGGAGTAACTTTACAGCAGAGAACCATGGCCAACACCACCTTAATCAAGTGATCAAAGTCAATCTCAAAAGGAATGGGATAATTAAGTTATATGCCACATGACAGGATGTAGTGAGAACGCAGCGTCACTTCTGCAATATTTCTGCCAAAAACAAGTATTCTGAATCTTACTCAGAGAAAAACATCCAGGAAACCTGAATTAAGGGACTTTTAGACAAAGAAACCAAATACAATCTTCAAAAACATGCGAGGGTCATGATAGTCCAAGAAAGGTTGAGAAACTGATCTAGACAGAAGGAAACTAAGGAACATAATTAAATGTAAAGTGTGGTTCTGCACCAGGTCCTTCTGCCATAGAACGTTACTGGGACAGTGGGCAACACCCGAATGGAGTCTGAGGCCCAGATGGCAGCAATGCATTAATATTCATTGCCTAACTTGGATAGTGTGGTGATGCAGCCAATTGCAGAATACGCATATTAACATGCTTGGAGGTAAAGAAGCATCATGTAAGCAACTTGCTCTCATATATTTTTGGGGGCAGGGGCAGTTCTTGACATTCAAATTGCAACTCTTCTACAAATACGGATGGTTTTAAAAAGTTCTTTCAAAAATCATCAAGATACCCCTTTAATGTAGAATATATAACCTCCACATAAGTCAGTATTAACGCCATACTTGCATGGAAAGAAAGCAAATGCACCAGGATGTACATACAATTCTAATATATGACCCTTAGTTCATAATGGCTCTCCCAAAAATGACACTTAAGGTTTCCACTTCACTCTTTCTTGATAGTGCCTATAAAATGGCTAGCCATTGACTGTAATTATTATTTACCCAACAGCCTTAGTAACTGTCAAAAAAATACTGTTTTTTTTTTTTTTTTTTTTTTTTTTGACAGGCAGAGTGGACAGTGAGAGAGAGAGACAGAGAGAGAAAGGTCTTCCTTTTGCCGCTGGTTCACCCTCCAATGGCCGCCGCTGCAGCCGGCGCACCGCGCTGATCCTGGCAGGAGCCAGGAGCCAGGTGCTTTTCCTGGTCTCCCATGGGGTGCAGGGCCCAAGCACCTGGGCCATCCTCCACTGCACTCCCTGGCCATAGCAGAGAGCTGGCCTGGAAGAGGGGCAACCGGGACAGAATCCGGCGCCCCAACCGGGACTAGAACCCGGTGTGCCGGCGCCGCAAGGTGGAGGATTAGCCTATTGAGCCACGGCGCCGGCTAAAATACTGTTTTTGGTTAAAAATAAAAAGTTGTTTTAGTATAAACATGCAATGTAGCCAAGGTTTGGTACCCTTGTTAAAGGAGACAGAACAACCCCAATGAAGAGTACAAACAAAAGCAAGTTTCGTTTCTTTTTCTTTAAATAATTTAGCTACCAAATTCTACTACAGAATACTACACAATAAATTTTCTGGGACTATTCCAATCTTTTAAATTAATACCTTTTTGGAGCCCACTACACTACTGTGGTGTAGTCAGTTAGGGTTCTGACTGCTCTATTTCTGATCCAGCTCCCGGCTAATGTGCCTGGGAAAGCAGAGGAGGATAGTCTAAACCCAAGCAGTTGGAGGCCTGCCACCCAGGTCGGATACCCGGATGGAGTTCCAGGTTCCTGGCTTCAGCCTGGCCCTCTGGAGAATGAACCAGCAGATGGAAGATCTCTCTCTGTTTCTCACTCTCTGTAACTTTGCCTTTGAAATAAATAAAACATAGCTACTGAAATAAATAAAACAAATCTTTTGAAATAAATCAATTAATACCTTGTTAAATTTGCTTTTAGAAATAAAAGGCTTGAGCTAAGATAAAGGCATAAACTCAATGCACACAATGATTTCAATGATTCCAAATGCAGACACAAATAAACAAAGGAAAGTTACCTTTCCTAAAATAGGCAAGAAATGAAATAAAAATTCTATAAAAGCATGCAATTGACTAGTACATAATTCACAAATCTCACTTTGTGAATTATGAATGTAAAGTTGCAAATCAAATTTCTTTATATAGGTCATTCCAGATTTATGAATGGCTGTTTTAAATATCTCTATGTTAGTTGCTTTTAAGTTAGAAAGCACTTCCTAAAGAAATAGAATCATATAGTGATTAGATTCTCAGATGAGTTCACAATCAATAGTGTATCTGGAACCTAAATACCACATCTAATTGTGCTTCTCTGTTAAATAGCTCAGATTGCATGGCACGCAAAGGAAAAGAATATTCATTCCTAACTATAGTCCTTGCAAAGGGATCCTGGATATAGAACTCCCTCCACAGACCTTCTGCCAGACACGCTGCCATCACCCATCACTTCTATCCCATGTTTCTTTACAGCCCAGGACCATGGTGCAGTACAATAGCCATGGTTTCTCTGTACTCCAAATAAGGAATACTGCATCTAGGATGGCTACTTACCCTGACAGTCAATTTTTCGTGTTTAAAAAAATAACAGCTCTCTTAGGCAGAGGGTTGTTACAAAAATCAAGTAAGAAAATGTATACAGGACATCTCTCTTTTTGTCTGCCAATAGAGCTTCTCATAACTTCTTAACCCAGGGCAGTCTTACTCCCCAAACCACAGTATTTCCATTTCTCACAGCTGCCTCTCAGTTCTTGTACAATACATTAATCAAAAATACTTAATTCTTTTCTAACCAAGGGAGGTATTAGGACAAGATAAAATGAAACAGGAAATGAAAGAGCAGTTGATTTTTCATTACTTAAAGATTTTATATACCTCATCCATAGTTTGAAATGGGGAAACAAAAAGGAGTTTAAAAATGACAACAACAGAAACAAAACACAGGCTAGAGGAAGAATTCAGATAACATCTCAGTTCCGTTTGAGTCGATCTTCAGGTCGTTTCGTTATCTTATAAGAAGTATAAGAATTTCTTGATGGCAAATATAAACCTTAAGATACCATTTAGGCTGTTTCCTTCAACTAGCAAAAACAATAAAATTGAGTTATAATTTTGAAAAATCTGGTATCTCCTCTTAATTTTATAGTACACACTGGTATAACTTTACTAAGGAAAACTATATTAACATATATCTGTCAATGACTAGATTAGAGGGTAACTTTTTTCTATATAAAACTGCTTTTTCTTCTTTTTCAAAATATAATTTACTTAAAAATTTGAATGTATAAACACTTCTAGGAATATAATATTACATAAAATGAGGCATATAGTTTGCTATATTTTAAATTTGTTCTAGGAATCTACATGTTCCAATGTCAATGGCTTTGGGGTTTTACTGTTCCAAGCACAGGTCTTTTCATGGTTTTGATACATATGGATTGGGTCTCTCTGAGGGGGACGAGGAGGAAGGAGAGAGAGCACGCAATATTCTCAGACAATATTGTGCCGAAGGAGAAATCAGTAATATCTTACAGAACACTGAAGATGAGTGAAGGATCCTTGCTAACACTGATGTTTCTTTTGGGAATCTTATTCCTTTCTACTATTTTCCAGCTGACTGGTCAAAAAAGAGTGTGGTCTTCCATCAACCCCACTATCTTCACACATCGTAGTTTTTGGCTTTGGGTATTTTAACAGTAAGCATGCTTGACAGTAAAGCAAGCACAAAGACCGCGGTCTGATCTGCATGGTCTGATGTCTGGCTGGCCCACCTGCCAGCTACTGGATCCAGCACGCTACTTACCAGCCATAAAATGTAAATAGTAATGAAATGAGGAACTTGGGACTGTCACAGAGCTAGCCAATGGTTAAGGCTAGAATATAAACCCAAGACTGATGATTCCAGAGTCGCCACTGTTAATCCCTTTCTTATAATACATCTCACAGAGTTCAAGAGTAAAAACTACTTCAAAAAAAAAAAAACAAAACAAAACAAAACAAAACAAAACAAAACAAAACAAAACTACTTCAAAAGTGTTTAGGATAGTTTCTGACACATTGCAGGCACTCAACACATAGTAGTGGTCATCACTAACTTCAGAGAACTCACACAAATGGGTGAGCAAAAAACTTTACCAGATTTCCTGGTAATACTGATCATGCAAATACCATTGCAGATTTCAGGTTTTGGGTGATGGCAGGCCAGACTGTTCACATTAATCCTCTAGCTGAAAATTATGAAACATGCTGAATAAAATACAAAAGAAATTTTTACAAAGCAATAAAGAGGTAACATGGTTATAAGAAATTACCAGGACAAACTAAAGATAAATGAGAACCAGCAAGCTAAGGAAGCATGAAAGCTGTGTTTGCCTTGAGTTTCTATATTATGATTTATGTTATATGATATAATTTATTTGAATTTATATTCAATAAATATATTTGATAATATACTGATATATATATATATATATATATATATATACACACACTGATAATCACACAAGAAGAGAGAAGCAGAAGAGAAATCAAAGCTGAGGGCCTGCTCAACGTTAGCAGTTTAATTGGGGCGTCTCCTCCTACTAATATGATATCCCAAAGGGGCCAGCCCAGGTGTAGGAATGAACATGAACTAGAGATGGTGCATGTCTGAATTATTACAGACTACAATACAACTATGTTTACTCTTGTTAAAAGATAATAGATGATATTAACAATGTATGCCAGGTAAAGAAAGTGCTATATCAAGGCGAAAAAATCAAATAGAATCACAAAACCTGAAGAACACAGTAAATGAAATAAAGAACTTAGTATCCAGGTTTAAAAGCAAATCAGGGCCGGTGCCGCGGCTCACTAGGCTAATCCTCCGCCTTGTGGTGCCGGCACATCGGGTTCTAGTCCCGGTCAGGGCGCTGGATTCTGTCCCCGTTGCCCCTCTTCCAGGCCAGCTCTCTGCTGTGGCCAGGGAGTGCAGTGGAGGATGGCCCAAGTGCTTGGGCCCTACACCCCATGGGAGACCAGGGTAAGTACCTGGCTCCTGCCTTCGGATCAGCGCGGTGCGCCGGCCGCAGCGCGCCGGCCGCGGCGGCTATGGGACGGTGAACCAACGGCAAAGAAGACCTTTCTCTCTGTCTCTCTCTCTCACTGTCCACTCTGCCTGTCAAAAAATAAAATAATAATAATAATAAAAAAAAAGCAAATCAGACAGAACTGCAGAGAGAATAAGGGAAATGGAAAACAGGTGATTAAAAAATATCCAGAAAAGCACCACAGACAGACCAAATGACGAAAAATAAATCAAGAAGTGCAATAAACAGAGAATACAAAGGCAAAAAAATGAATACAGATTTAATAGACATGCTAGAAAAAAAACAAGAAAATGGGGAGAGCTTTCTGAAAAGGTGAGTGAGATCTGGTCCAACCCAATGAAATACACCAACAACAATTTAAAAAAGCTCAAAGAACCTCAGGCATTACAAATTAAAATAAAATCAATGCCTATTATGTTATATCAAAACAAACAGAAATTATATTACAGACAAACAAATTAAAAAGATGATTTTCACAGATGACACACTGACAAAGGATTCTCAACAACAGGTAGTAGAAGCCAAAAGATAGTAGCATTTCATATTCCAAAAGGAAATAATTAAAACCACCAAACTTCTGTATCCTAGAAAAAATATTTCAAAAATAAAGCAAAGTAAATTTATCTTCAGACAACGAAAAAGAACCAAAAAATCTGATACCAGCAAAACATACTAAAAGAAATTCTAAGGGTTATAATTCTAGCAAAAGAAAAATAATTCTAGATACAAAATATAATGCACATAAACATGTAGATAAATCTAAAGAAATAGTTATCTTTCGAAATTTGAAAAAAAACAAGACATATAAAACAACAGCACATAGGTCAGGGAAATGGCGTGTAACTGTCCTGGAAGTCTTTGACAAAAAGGTCAAACTACCTTTTAATTTTAGACTTTGGTAAGTACAATTAATGAAGTTTTTACAGCTAATTTCTAAGAGATGAGAAAAAGAATGTGTAAGTTTAATTAGGGCAGGGGAAAAGTAAAATGAAAAAAATAACCAACAACAATTTAATAGATAGAAAGAAAACACAGGTTATCACTGTAAATTTAAACCAAAATATATAGCTATTTGACACTATATACCAAAGGATTACAAGGTGAAGCCAAAAACAAAACAAAACAAAACAAAAAAACCACCAACTAAAATCCAATATAACGTTGTCTGAAAAGGCATACCTATAACACAAAAAAGTGACAATTTGAGGTAAAAGAGTAGAAGAGAACACACAACTTAAAAATTGTGTGCATCAAATAACAAAGGTCCAATTATATACAACAAAAATAGACCTAACTATGAGACTACAAAAACCCACAATCATAGCAGGAAATTTTATTAAACCTCTTGTACTGATATGGAATATGTAGACTAGAATCAATATGTCTAATGAATAATTAGGATATATAGAATACCCTAGTCAATAATGAAATTGATCATCCTATTGCAAGAATGATAGTAAGAAAACTAAGGTACCAAAAGTCAATACCAGGAATGGAAAGGTGAGGGCAATGCTACAGAAAATCAATAGATAGAAGCTACTGTGAAGAACTTGATGCATACACATTTCAATTTTTAGATCAAATGGATATGTTTATGAAAACATAACTAAAACTGATTCAAGAACAGAAAAGCTAAAGAATCCTGTAACTGGGGCTGGCACCGTGGCATAGGAGGATAAACTTTCGCTTGCAGTGCTGGCATCCTAAATGGGAACTGGTTCAAGTCCCAGTTGCTCCACTTCTGATCCAGCTCCCTGCTAACACACCTAGGAAAAGTAGCAGATTTTGCCCAAGTGCTTGGGCTCCTGCACCCATGTGGGAGACCTGGAAGAAGCTCCTGGCTCCTGGTTTCAGCCTGGTACAGCTCTGGCCAGTGCAGCCATTTGGGGAGTGAACCAGTGAATGGAAGATCGATCGATCTATCTTTCTTTCTCTCTCTCTCTCAAGTAAATAAATCTTAAAAACAAACAAACAAACAAAAAACCTGTAACTGTTAAAACAATAGTTGAATTTGAATTAGTATAAAAGGTCAATACATATAGTGAATTAAGTGAAATATTATAAACAGTGGCATGCAAACAAACTGAATGATGAAAAGCCCATTCCTAAGAAGACATACTATGATTCCATCTACACAAAGTTCACACCAGGTAAAACAAAATTATATTATTTAGGGAAGCACACACCAGCTGGTAAAGTTATAAAGAAAAGCAATGAAGCCAATACCATAAAACTGAGACACATTTACACCTAGGGTAATTGAGAGAAAGCAGGATTGGTAATATTCTATATCTTGACAAGAAGGTGGTTATGCATCTCATAATTATTTGTTAAACTGAATATTAATAGTCCATGAACTTTTGTCTATCATTAATATAATTTTATTGTGTAACAGAAAATATCAATGTAATACATTTACCATATAATTTATTTTGCCTCAGAAAATGAGTAAAAACAAATACAAATCATAGTTCCAAACTGTTTTACCAACAGTGCTTTTAATTTTTTGTCACAAATGAAATAATCTTGGAAGAGCAGAGACTACTCACACTAACTTTTACAAATCTTCTTCAACACCTTTTTCACTTTGTCACACGTTTCTTTGGATTAACTGTCACTACCACTATCATGCAGGTAGAAAAGGGTTAAGATTAATTTAGCTCTACCAACACAAGAACTGGCTTCTTTGATTTCAAATTTAAAAATAAGACAGGTCTTTGATTTCGAGTCAGGAGAGTGGTGAAGTCATCAATTTCAAGTCAAAGATAAGGAGTCAGCACACTGAAAACCTTCCTATTCTCAGTTAGCTAACCTCACAGTTAGCACAGAGAAAGGCAAATGAACTTTTTCTCCTTTGGGGAAAGGGGACAGACATTTGAAAGAACCTATAAAATCATTTATTTCTATATTATTTAAGTCAACATCCACCTCAGGGGAATATAATACAATTAGAAATTTTATTTTATTATATACAGACAACATATGTAATAAGTAAAAGAGTTAACATACTTACCATTTCCATTAATAGACAGATTATGGGTCTTGAAGCTGTCCTCTGCACTTTCCAAGGTTAGAGTAGTATAAGCCAGCAAATGATACTTTGCACCACTTAGTAATAAGAAAGAAGACAAGTTATAAGTATTTTCAAGTTTTCTATTACATAAAATACTTACAGGTTCAACAACAACAAATAAACAGATTTAAAAATAGGCAAAGGGTATGGGCAACTTTTAGATCTGTATAAAAGTGTGTTGTGATGATGCAGCAAAAGTTGCTCGTGCCCCCCTCCACCAGGGTGTCTAGGTTCCATTCCAGCTCCAGACTCCAGCTTCTAGCAGTAGTGTTGGCTCAGTAATCAAGATCCTGTCACCCATGTGGGAGACCTAGATTGTGTTCTGGTTTCTGGCTCCAGCCTCTGCCTGTCCAGTCCTGACAGTTGTGGGCATTTGGGGAGTGAACTATAGATGGGAACTCTAACTTTGGTCTGGCCAAAATGCAGAGAAAGTGGAAACTTCATGTATTGCTGGTGGGAATGGAAAATGGTGCAGCTACTGAAAAGCAGTATGGTGGCTCCTCAAAAAACACAGATGCTACCACTCACATATTTACAGTCAATACAAGTTATTAATCAACTGGTATGTTTACCTCTATAATGTTTGTTAATAAACTCTTCATATTGACTTAATCCACACAAATGTTTCTCTGAAGGGCCTCCATTCATTCATTCAGTCAGTAAGTATCCACTGAACAGCTAAAATGCCAGGTCCCAGGCAAAGTCAGGGACACTCAATAGTAAACAAAGTATAGATTCAGATGCAGGCAAGAGGGAAAAAAAAAAAAGAATAAGCAGAGGAATAACACAAGCATTGGTGTTTATGTTACAATGCAACTTTTTCTATGAAAGAAGCAAAGGGAATAAGAAAAATGAGGACCTGTATTAGACAGATGAACTGGGGAAGGTGTCTCTGAGGAGGTAAAAGTTGTGCAGTCATACAAGCATCCAGTCAAGCCATGAACACGGGCACACATTCCAGTCAGAGAGGCGATATGGGCAAAAGAAAGGATGGAAGAAAACCACTATGGCCAGGGCCCAGTGAGCAAGCAGAAAAACAGTGCAACACAGGGCTGGAAATACAGGCACCACTCCTAACTGTAACAATAGTGCTCTTAAAAACATAAACAATCTATTTACTCTACACAAGTGTTAGGAGAAAAAACATGCTTTATAACTTCAATCTAATTTAAAATATAGGTTGGTGTTTTTTTTAAATACTTCTTTCTGTGAAATATATATTATCACCCTCAATTTTGCCAGTTTTCCAAGCAGATGATGCATATTTATACACTGAACAATAATATACTAAACAGCTTTCAAGAAACATAAAATCGACTTAGAGGCACAGCAAAAATCCAACAAGAGGAATTTCAGTAGGCTAAATGCCACAAATAAAATGAATAAATGAATCATATCAGGGAGCATACTAAAAATTACCAAAAATGTTCACTGTCTTCTTTCAGATCCAACAATACTTTATGATGATATTTCAAGTTACTTCATTTTTAAACCATGACTAATTACAATGCCAATGCTTCCAAAACCAACAATGACCTCACTGTTAAAACATTCTTGTTAGGGTAACATTTTCTTTCTAAAACATTACTCTCATTCCTTTTAGCCAACCTTAATATTGAGTTCCCCAAAGTTTAATCAGCTTCATTCTTCTATCAAATAGGCTAATTGTTTTAACACTGTAGGGTTGGTGGTGGTAAAAATTTATGAAAATAGATGACTAGTTAAATGATGGTAGTCTGAAAAAATACACTCTTGTCAGGAAGGTTACAAGTCATTACTAGTGAGCATGTATATTGCTTTATATGTGCAAATTTTGGTTGAAGACTAAAGGCTTACTAAAAACATCGTCACATTCTACTAGATCACTATTAAAGATGAAATTGATATCTTTACGCATGCTGATTACTAGTACCATTCTCAAACTCCTATCATGGCAAAGTAGTGAGTTATGGAAGTATCAGGACTATGTTTCAACCTGGAAATAGAATTGTTTATTTAAACATCAAAAATAAATAGTTCCACTAACATATTGTTAAATTAAAGTAGCTTCCAGTAAATCTTTTCCAAAATCTTAATGTACAATGGTTTTTAAGATGGTCTCAGATCTAAGGGGGAAAAAAACTAAGGGTTCCTTTCTGCCTTTTAAATACATTTACTCATATAATGGGAAGACATACCTTTATGTCTGCTTTTCAGACTGTGGATTGAGATCTATTCATGGGTCATGAAATCAATTAATTGATTTCCAAAGAGTAGACTTAAAAATGGAAAGTAAGAAATATCTGATAGCTCTACTGTAAATAGTAAGGGTTCAGTGTTATTTGACGAAACCTATCTGCTTGTATAGCTGTGTGCACTCAGTCATAATGTAAAACATAGTTCTTAGCATGAGTCTCAATCAAAATAGATTGAAAGCCCCTATGCTAGAGTGCCAACATGTATTTCACATGTAATACATTGGACATGAAAAGTTATTTAATTACATTTTGATGACTGACATTTCCAGAATTTATATCTGAAATATTTCCCCTTTTATAATTACAGTAATGACATGCTGAAAAGCCAACACTACTGACACGCACAGAAATTCCAGGAATGCAGCCTGATCAATGTTCTTCTGAAGAAACATAAACATAAAACTTTTTGTGAAGAAACAAACAATGTTTAGAAAACGCATCTGGGAGAAACCAGGGCTCCTGGGAGAAATGGTGATTCTAAATCAGGGCAGAAAAAATTATAAGACAAACAGATAACAACTTAGTGTGTCAAAAAGCAAAGAAGCTATAAAGATTAGATCATGCCAGAACAAGGCACAAGTTAGATTAAAGCTTTCCACTGACCAAAGATGAGACAATTTGGGCATCAAAGGAAGTAACTGAAAGATCAAAACATGAATGTATCAAAATTTAAGAGTTCAAATAAAACAACAATGATGACCTCCATAGTTGCTAGGCTTGAAGTTATTTTCTTCTAAAATTTGGTAAATATAAGAAATGAGTATTTTTCCCCTCCCCTTCTTTCACCCATTTTATTGTGGTTGTATCCAGAGGATTTATGAGGGGAAGTTCTTCTTTTTAAGAATTCTAGTTTAGAAGAAAAATGCAAGACAAATTTAGAAAGTCTCTAAGTTATAATTCCTAATGAAATAATGAATGATCAACAGTGGCTACTAAAACAGACAAAAGAATGACAGGAAAATTTATAATGGATGAATCGGGATAGCTACCCCTGAGCCCACTGATCAATCTTAACATTACTAAAAGTGGGGCAAGGTCTCCAAGTAGCTGATACTAAGAAATAAATTCAATAATACAGGGCATTATTGTCCTAAGAAAGAACCTGAATCAAATCAGTTCTCTAGGTCTAAGCACCAGGTTATAGGAAATACTAGGGCCAGGAAAGGATGTTAAAAACACCACAAAGATGCAATCAGATAGATTAGGAATATGGGAAACTGTACAAGATCTTGTTTCTTCAATAAATATTGGTAATATAGACCTTGCTTAGAGTCTGAGTTCAACTACCAAATCACAAGAGGACTCTTTCAGAATTGAAGCAATTTGAATACAGTAGATGATACTAAGCGTTTACTTTTTTTTTTGTTAGGTGTGATACTGACAATATGGTTTCATTAAAGAGATAAAATACTTTTAAAAAATCTATGAGAATGAAGCATAACATACATATAGAAATACAATTAGTAGAGCGACATGCAGCGAGTACTTTGACATTAACATAGCCCATTTTCAAGAAAAGCATTTCAATTTTCCGGTAGATACTGGAATTTCAAATCACTAAAAACACTGTCACCAGACTTCCTATCTTCAAAGGAAGATATCAAGGATACCTCGGCTGGGTTAATGTCAGATGACCAAGTGTTGTTTCTGCTTCAGGATGTTTTCCCATTTACAATATAAACATATACTCCACATGCAATAATTTAAAATATCACAAATGTATAATTATGTCACCATAAACATGGTATTAGAAAACTTACAAAACAGCTGAGCTGAAGAGCAAGCACTTTTCATGATCATCCTCTTGAAGCACAGAGTGTATTTTCTTTCCTGTAGCTTTACTTAGGGATGTCTTAAGTTTCTTTGCTAGCTTCTTAGGTGTGCTGGCTATGGAGGAGTCTTCTGTACAGCAGCTATACACCTCCATCTTTATCTGAAAGTCTGGCCCTGCTTCACTGCTGAAAATGAGAGAATTCCTAACATTAGAATTGTAACTCCATAGGAGTTAAAATTAAAACAACCTTTGATGATTTCATATCATTTAAAAATGAGCCTTTTAAATAGGTTTATGTTAATACATATTAATGTGACAGAATCTCCCCATGTCATTTAGTATGTAAATGGCCTGAGAGAGTCACTACAACTTTCAAAGTATCAGCATCTAAAGAGCTAGGGCAATCTTACATCAAAACTCAATTTAACCAATATGTACAGGCATATTAAAGAAAAAGAACACAATGCATAAGTAGCATTTTGCTATCAATGCTATTTTTCCTCATCAGCCCTTTAACACTGCTGGTTTTAAGATATTTACATTACAGGTGTCATGATTATTCCTCCAAAACAGAACCTGTGCACCTTCACCTATTTCTTGTCATAAAGATTCACCAATGCACCCCCTTCCCCTTGGTCGTACCTAATAGCTATGAACAACAGTTTGGTTACTTAAGGGGAAGAAACACAACATAAAAAACATAAAAACAATATTAAAGGATATACTTCAAAGCACAAAATCCTTGAAGAAGGTTGCTGTCTTGGTGATCTTTGAACTATTCTCAACCCATCATTGTGCCTAGAATGTAGAAGGCACTAGATACACATTTATTAAACCAGTACACAAAGTTCTGCAGTTGTAGCTATACCCCTTTTCAGATATAGTAAAATACCTTAAGCATAAAAGATTCTGGTGGTATTTCTAACAATAAGATACACTTAAGAGTGCAAATGTTGCCTGCAGACAGAAGATCCTTCAGCCTCAGAGGTTTTTAAAATGCAGCATAGAGTAGTTAAGGCTTAAATGGCCAATCTATAGTTTGGATAAATCCAAGGAATAACTTTCAGAAATTTTTATAGTTTATTATTTGGCAACCTTTAAACATACAGTATTCCTGGTAATGACTAACAAATGTCAATATTTAGAGGAAAACCAGAGATTCATAAATATTGAACACTTATTAAAAACAATCACCATAACAAAAAGCACATTTTTAAACATTTGGAACATTTGTCAGCAGTTATTTTTAGAACAAATTTAAAATATTTACAGAATAAAAGAAAATTATAAATCATGTGTTGTCTTCCCAAGTAACTTGTATTGTTCCTTCCCTGAAAATAAAAGTCTGATTTCTGTCTTTGTGATAAAAACAAACAGTAACAATCTAATGTGAAGCAAAGAGCCCATTAAAGGTATCATTTAGGCAGGAAAAAAAATTTAATAGCAGTAGTTGATAACAAAAACAAATGTATTCAGATAACTAAGAAAAAAATCTTAACCTCTATAATATAAGCATTTGAGGTGATCCTGGGGGCCCTAAATGAATTCTTTTGGTTCAATACAGTCTGCAAGAAGGCCCACATTATTGCTAATAACTCTGAACGATGTACTTTATTTTTCTGTGCTCTACAATTACTATGGGAAACTAGACTAGGAGCCACAATATAATTTGCCACAGTTGTTTATTTTTTTCCTTGAATGATATGTGAGTAGCAAAACTACTCCTTAGAAATTTCAATTTATAGCTTAATGGCTGAAAATGGCAAAAAACATGGACATTGATATTATCCTTATATAGTTCAGTAGCTGCTAATATCTGCATATGAAGATAGTGTCTTCAAAAGTCTGAAAAAATACAAATCCCACACTAATTTAAACCAACAGAACCTTTGAAAGAGGCCAGGAAAAACTTATGTTAGTTAAAAATGATTTCTATGGCTACCTGAGGAGTTCTCTCTGGTTCTGTATTATGACCACTATAAATTGAGCTTGTAAAAGAGCAGGCGCAATAAAAGCAGCCCTGAGAATCACCCATTTTTTTATTGTTTTGGAGTACATGAAAGAAGTGCACCGTAAGAAAAAGCACACCCTGAAATCTTACCAATTTGCTTTTCCTATGGCACCACTCAGGACTATCTTATAAATAAAGTTGTTACACCATTTTAGTACTTCTGTAACTGAGTCTCCTAGACCAGATAGGACAATCTGTTTTACATTCAAATTCACTCTATATCACATAATGTTAAATAAAACTCTATTGCATTCAAAGCTCAGTTAATAATGAAACTATAAATATTTATGAAAATTTTAAAAACTTAGTGTATCCCATGAGTTAAATATTTATTGCTAATATCATTTAATATTTCCATTTTATTTTATATCAGAAAATTACAAATGTAGAAATGAGCTTCTTTTGAACAAAGTAATTTTCAAAACCATTTTAAACATTTAAAGATCTTAATGCTTCAAAAAGAATCAAAAGACCCAATAATTAGACTTTATTAAAAGTAAAGGCAGAATTTGAGATTATTTTCAATCCCTGAAGCATAAAAAAAAAATACTTACAATATGGTTACATTTTCAAAACATATATCTGTAACTGTTTTATCCACAATCACCATGTCAGTATCAAAAACTTTAGCTCCCATTTTGAACAAACAAAAAATGGCATATCGTTGTGAACCTAGAGAAGAAAGCAACACTGTGTGAACAAGAAAGCCTGTGATAAATCATGCCTGCACTATGTTAAAATCTACATGAAAATGAAAAATACTAGCTTAAGGAATTGTTGATAGATTTTTATTTTCACATAATGTATATTGTAACCCTTAACATTTCAGAGTACCCATTCTGTACACTGTATATTATAAACCTTAATGCTTTATAGTGACTGTTCTGCAAGTATATAGTAATGCTGTAGCCAATGAGAACACAACAATTAAACTAGGCAATGTCAAAAATAAATTTAAATATACAGGCCTCTCACCAGCCTAAAGAAACCAGCAGACTCATAAATTTTATTCCTAGAAACCTCCTGAAGCTTTAATTAATAGTGTACACACACACCATACCACACACACACACACACACACATTCCTCTGTCATTTTAGTTTCCAAGTCTATTTAAGAAAAAGATGTTTTGTGTTAGAAGAGGTTAAGTGTACGCACATTAACAACAGCAAAACATTTTCCACCAAACTAAAAGCAAGGGAGGAAACCACAATAAAACAATAGAAAGTAGACATGGGAACACAAAAAAACATAGCTGCTGGGCCTTTTAATTTGGTGATGTTTTAAAAAGTATTAGGTGATTAAAGGGCTAAACCCTCATTATTGAGAAAATGTAGCTCTTCAGAAAAACTTATTCTCTATAGTAATCAGGAAGATTTACTTAATTCCCATATGCATTCCTTTGAAAAGTAAATTATATTTCCTAATTGAATAACAAACACTAACCTGATTTTAAATTCTTCATATAAAACTCATTATGCTCAATATGATTCAGTTTTTAAAGTATGAGGAACAAAGCTATCACAATAGACAAGAAAGATACAGGATTATCGTATCTTTTCTGCTTTTTCTCTAACAACAAGAAATCATTTGAGGTTAATTTCCATGACCTAAGCAATACATGGATTTCTGAAGAATATATAAGGCCACAAAATGCTGAAGAAAAAAAAAATTCAGATCAAGGTAAAAATCTTTCCTTATTAGAGCCTGTTAAAAAATCTGAAGTAACAATATAAGGCAGCAAAGACCTCCCAGATACTGGTCAAATGAAAAAATCTTGCCTTTATCTTCATTCCTTAAATATTTTCTTTTGTTCCATACTTCCCTCCCTCCTTCTCCCCATCCTGAACCCATTACTATCTTTGCACAGGTTGCTATCAATAATTATACATAACTAGATAGGTAATATCTTCATTCATCCAAGAGATAGCAACACATTTATACTAAAAATCAGAAACAATAGTTCAGCAAGATTCTGCCAATTCTGTCAAATGACATTAGTTTATTTAAGTGTGGAAGCAGTCTCTTTTCTCAGACACAAATTTACTATAAAGAAAAAAGTTCAATTACAAACTAAAATTATACATACGTTCTTTATTGCTGAAGTGATCGGAGTCTTTCCACATTAATGGTATTCGAACATCTATAAAGGAGGAGAAATAAGAAGTAACAACTTTGGTAATTTCTAATTTTCATGGTGACAGGAACCTCTGAATTCCATATTATATTATGACTATCAAAGCCAAAGTAAAATTTTATTCAACAATGCATCTTCTAGTTGCTGGTTTATTGTTTGCACTTTCAAAATTATTTTAGGAGCATTTATTTATTTATTTGAAAGGTGGAGTGATAGAGAAAGAGGGAGACAGCCATTCCCCAAATGACCAACATGGGCCAGGCAGAAAGGAGGAGCCAGGAACTCCATCCACGTTTCCCAAATGGGTAAACAGGGCCCAAGCACCAGGACCATTTTCTGTTGCTTTCCCAGGCACATTAGCAGGAAGCTGGATCAGAGGTGGAACAGCCGGGACTTGAACCGGCAACTGAGACGAGGCCAGCATCATAGGTGGCAGCTGAACCTACTGGTCCACAAAGCTGGCCTTGGTTTGCACTTTTAAAAGTTATTTAGGCAAAATGTTCAGGTACGTGAAGTAAAAATACATTCTTATAAAAACAACTGTTCTAGCTCTAGGTACAAATCTCTTCCTCATTGGTTTATGATGTCATCTTTGTTACATATACCATTCTGGCAATATATTTACAGATTTAGTCCAATAATTTATCAATTAGTGTCTACCCTAACACCAACATCTTACTATTATAACTAGTATATCTTTATATTTTACTATTTGTTAGAAATATTTCCTTTTGAGAGCATCTCATTCCAACCCAGTACTTTCTTTATGGAGATTTTAAAGCATTATATCAAAATCCCTCTCTCCCACCCCTGGATATTTAGTATTCTATCGCCCAAATTTACCTTGGGTACCAGTAACTTACGTCTTTATATAGACTAGCAAAATATATCTAATATATTTGCCACTACATTCTTACTAAGTTACTCTTAGATATTTAACAGAGCTTTGTTTTAATAAAGGAGACCTCTTTTGTTTTCTTTTGTAAAGGGTCTCTTTTTTGCCATCATCTTTTCTAGCTAGTCACTGATGGTTTTGAAAGAAAGAAATGTCTACCTTTTGTAGATTTATCTTGAATCCAGCCACTTTTACTGAATTCTTTATTCAAGCAGTGTTTTAGTAAATACCCTTAGGTTTTACACGTCTGCAACCCATTATCTTCAAATAGTACTCAATTTGTCTATTTCAAGAGGTTCATCTTTTATTCTTAATTCCTGTATTAGCTAGGATTTCTAAAGTGTTAAATTATATTGACATAATAGACATTGTTATTTTGTTCTTAATTTAGTGGAAACGCCTTTATCATTGTATAATTATGACTTGGTTGATGTCCAGTCAAAGAGCCCTCTTCTTCTTGCTTGACCACAGTTGCTGACTCACTTCAGTTCCCAGCTGTTCTTGTACACAGCTGTTCTTGCTCAGTGAGGGTGGCATTTAACTATCTACGCTGTCATGGAAGGAACACAGATGCTGACTTTCTTCGCTATACACATGGCCTAAGAGTCTTCCCCTTTCCTGTGTGAGCTCCCCCAGAGCTGATGGTAGTTATTACCGGTTTCCCAAGTGGACGTGTACTATGCAGACAGCAAAACATGGTAACCCATTAACTGCATTTCTTAATTCTGCCTCACATGATAAAAGTTCTTTCTAGATTTTTGCAAATGGTTGACTCAGTTTGTGTATACTGCCCTCATCTTTATCCTTTTTCTAATGTCTTCATTGATATTTTCATGGCAAACAGAGAGCCACAATAAGATGGCTAAGTTGACCTATCAGGTCCTGAAAGTTTGTTTATCATTTTCAAAAATAAAAAACTTAAGCATTGAGTGAACTTCTTTGTTTTAATCATGGAATTAGTACTCAGTAAAAAAGCTGAGACAATTATCACAATGTAATTATTTAGTGTTCAGCAGAAACAATCAGGAAAAATTTGCTATTCTTATAAACATCTGGAGAGTAAGTTGTAAAACTGGAAGTGAAAATCCAGCCTCTGCAGACTATCAATGCAATCTCAGAAACATTATGCAACTTTGTTGCAAATATTCATTTTGGCCAAAACAAATTCATATTTTCATCCCAGTGTCAAAATAAAATAGTTATCAAAGTGAATTTGTATTTTATTTTCTTTGTTTTTACAAATATACTGACAAGATATAATTAAGTCTAGGCAAAGATGAAAAGAAATTACATATGTATCCCATCTTCTGAGAATTCCATTTTCTTAATTTAATTTAAAATTATCTTTTGTAAAGAAAAAAACACATGCAGAAATACGCTCTATTTTTATGTGTATTTGTGGTCAGAAAATTTTTTTTCTTTTACTTTAATGCTTTTACTTAAGCCTCCTTTTAAATGTACAGTTAATTCTAATATGGTAAATTGCTACAGTACATAAACTATTATGAAATGACAATAGATGTTGACTCTAACATGACATTTGAGTCTTCAACAGCAATTTAAGAGACCTTGCTTGTTTACTGAGTAGCACCATTTTAAAAGCAAGAAACGGAGAATTATGTTTAATTATTTTTAGAAAATCCTCTTTAAAAATCTGTACTATTTACTTACATTAAAAGGTATAGAACATAGTAAACAATTACAATGCAAAAATATTCTATCAGCAAAAGGACAAGAAGGGTTTTATGTCTGTCATAACTGGAAAGAAAAAAACATGAATATAAATAACAGAATTGTACATAGTTCAATTATTTTTCTGAAGAATTTTTGGCTTAGCTGAGATCAATTTTGCTGATTTAAGTCAAATTATGTCCTATGTAAAATGTAGGCCTATCCTTCTTGTAGGATAATCTTCGGTTACCCATAAAAACATTACTGAAAACAGTTCACTGGTGACAGGGCCTGAAATGTAGCAGCAGACTCCCTAATTCAAGGCTTTTGGCCAACGAAATAAACCAGTCCTTACTGAAGGACTGATGGAGGTATATACTGTTGTTTCCAAAATGCACTGATGAGATAATATTTGCAGAAGTGCATTATCTAAATGGTGAACATATGAGTCAGCCATGTATTCACAGCAATCTGTGGCATCTCCAAGCCATTGTCTTAGCTTCCCTACTTTGGAGAAACTGAGACTACACAGCATAAGTGCCATCTAGTGGTAAAAGGTCTCCTAACTGTACTAGGAATTCAGAGAAAGGAAACATTACTTCAAGCTGCAGTTAACAGAGAATGTTTCATAGATAAGCAAACAGATCTTAAAGAAAATATAGTTATTTTATGAGTTAAGTGCGTGTTGGAAGCATGAAGTAAGTTGATAGGGCAAGGAGAGAAATGTCTGCCTAGAGCAGATGGCTTTTGGGGTAATGGAAGGGATGGCTGGAAAAACAAGGAATTGGAATGGAAGACAAAAGGGGCTGGGCCCAGAGGGAGGGAGGAGTTTGGTCTTCACCCTGCCAGCAACAAAGAACAGAGATCCAAACAATAAATATCCAGTAAGCAATTACAATGTGCCAAGTGCTGTGCTAGCTTCTGAGTGTAAAGTGATGAACAAAATAAACACGGTCCCAATCCCCATGGAACTTCTGGCCTAGCCAAACATTAAAAACATTACTAAGGCTTCTGAGCAGAAAAGGAATGGATAACAAAAGGAATTGAGTTACAGCCCAGATGGATCATGGACAGCCAAGTCACTTAACCTCTGAGTCTGTAGAAAAAGACTATACAGGCTTCAGGAGGAGAAAACTATATAATACAGGTGAAACATTTCAGAAACCGTAAAGTCCTACACAGAAATAGAGCATAATGAGGCAAACAGTATTTGAGAACAAACGTTCTGATAGAGATGTAAAGAATAAAATGAAGAGAATGGAATAAAACAAAACCAATCAACTCTAGCTAAATCATAAAAATTTTTCAGCAATATAAAACATACCTGATATGGCAATCTTTCCTTTACATGCTGTTCGTTCTTTATTTTCAAAATTCACATCACTGTCAAAAGAAAAAAACCTTATATAAAAGAGGCCTTTCTAAAAACAGTAATTTTAAGTCTTTCACTAAGGCCCAAATACTAAAAACAGACACATACCTATGAATCATAATGATATCCAGTTATTGTAAACTATTTGACACAAACTTTAAGATATTTAATCAACAGCTAGCTAGTTTTAAGAGAAATGTATAAAGCCATTCTCTGACTTTTCATATAAATTTCATATTCCCTGATGATTATATTCTAGTTACTCTACAATGAAAACTTTGTGTGATAACTTGCATTCATAAACAGGATGTGTAATATTTGGCCAGATCTCTGGAAGTGTAATACCTTGGATCGATACTTCATAAACAACATTTTTGCTTAGTACATTCAGTGGCCTGAGAAAGTTAATCTACTTTCCAATCACTTAACTATGCAGGGATACTGTACCTTTATCCAACCTGTCAAATAACCAAAAATAACTTTCTACTCTATATTTACATGAGATTAATATCATTAATATTTCATTGCCCTAAGATTCCAAAGAACTAAGTATACGATAAGCAAACAATAAAGTAAGGTGGAAAAGGACAGAAATGGTACAGTAAGGAAATAAAATACGGAAAATATCTTAATGACAATATGCAGAAAGTTTCAAGGGACTGGCATTGTGGTGTTAGTGGGTAATACCACTGCCTTTGGTGTCAACGTACCTTATGAGTGCCGGGTTCGAGATCTAGCTGCTCCACTTCCAATTCAGCTCCCTATTGGTGTGTGTCTAGGAACGCAGTGGAAGATGGCCCATGGGAAACCTGGAGGAGGCTGTTGGCTCCTGGCATCAGATTAGCCCAACTCTAGACATTAGGGCCGATTGGGGAGTGACCTAATGGATAGAGGATTTCTCTTTCTCTCTCTCTACCTTTCAAATGAATAAATAAATCTTTTTAAAAAAGGTTTCAAGAGAAACTCTGGGAATATAAAATACTTCCAAGTCTGACTTTAAAAAAAAAAAGATTTATTTATTTATTTGAAAGGCAGAGTTAGAGAGAAGCAGAGGCAGACAAAGGGAAAGAGAGGTCTTCCAACCACTGGTTCACTCTCCAAACGGCCTCAAAAGCTGTTGAGGGATGATCCGAAGCCAGGATCCAGGAGCTTCTTCCAGGTCTCCCATGTGCGTGCAGGGGCACAAGAACTTGGGCCATCTTCCACTGCTTTCCCAGGCCATAGCAGAGAGCTGGGTCGAAAGAGGGGCAGCTGGAACTTGAACAGCCACTTATATGGGATGCCGGCATGGCAGCTGGTGGCTTTATCCTCTACTTCACAGCACCAGCCACCAAATTCGACTTTCTAACCTACTACCACTATGTAAGAAAAAAAAAAAAAAGCCTTTCAAATTGTTAACTCTTATTAGATCAAGACAATCTTATCCTTAGTATCCCCCCAATCTCCTATCTCCTAATCACCTATGTTTACAGATCAGCATTCCATTTCCAAGGCAGTATTTCTAGGAATATTCTCAGTATATTTTTTTGTCCCTATTCAATTTGGCTGGCTAATTAACTGCCAGATAATTTAATTAGGCACTTCAAACGTGCAGTAAGATGGAAACTTTCCATTTGAATATTTATGAGTCTAAGAGGGCTTTTGGAGAAAGACTGGGTAAGAGTTTAAACTAACTAATTTTCAGAAAAAATGATACCAACTTCATGCTTAAACAGACTTGTTAAAAAGACTATCTAGATATTCATTATTGTACACCAAATATGAAAACAAAATATATCTTGTTTATTTAAACTCCCTTACTGGATTATAATTTAAGTATTATAATTTACTGATGTACTTCAGTTGTTTAGTTTCTATGGAGACATTTACATGGTATTTATAGAACCACACATTAGTATGACTTCAATAATGTAGCAGATTTAAAGCTGCATCCCATCTAGACAAGGATGGTATGATCTCACTCACATGTGGAATCTTACAAAGGTGATCTCATAGAAGCTGAGAGTATGATGGGGGTTACCAGACACTGAGGAGAGAAGGGGGAAGGAGGAAAGGTACCGGTACTAGGATAGGAGCAAGAAGTAAAATGTTCTAGTGTTCTACTTCATTAAGGTGACCACAGATAATGGCTAATGTATTGTATATTATTCTTACAAAAAAGCTAGAAGAAAGGAATATGAATGTTTTTACCATATGAAATCATAAATGAGACAGATACTTTAGCCTGATTTGGACATCACACAATGTATACATGTGTCAAAGCATTGTAACAGCAACCCCATAAATGTGTATAATTTTTATGTTAGTTAAAAAATGAGAGAACCTTATCTAATTATATTCACATCTAGTATATAACTAGGACATTCACTCAGTGAAAAACAGAAATACTCCTTGATTATTTCAAAATGTTTCATTGAATCACAAATGTTTAAAAGTCAAATTCAACATTAATATTTACTTGTCACGTTGGAAAACATTATTTGCTTATTTGCTCATCCTAGAGTGAAAAGTCTGACTATCAGACATTTGGTGAAACAATATACTGAAAAGACCAGTAGAAATCAAACCCAAGTATCAATTTAAAAAAAAAAAGCAAAAGAAATACTATATAAATACATTTAGTTGGTATTTGAAAATATTTTTAAAAACACCTTCTATGTAAGCAATGTGTAAAATAAATTCCTAAAACACTTATTTTACTGAAAAAAATATAAGAGTTCTAATATGATGAGTAACTTAAGTATTACAGAATAGATTATGGATTGTGTAAAGTTCACATACATTAGATATTATTAAATTGGATTAAATTTGAGGCTTTGGCAGGCAAGTGAAATTCTGAAATATGGGAAACACAAAAAGTAAACTTGCTGAATATTTATCTGCCCAACCCCAAGGTTTCCCCCCTCCAAAACGCTCAACCGCCTGGCAGAGAACAGCTTTCTTTCCTGCAACTGTAAATCACTTGCATGGACATTTCCAGGACCGGTTGCAAGTTGATGATACATAAATTTTATCTACAATATAAATACAATTAACCATATCATCTTATAGAATTGTCTGCCTTTAAAAAAAAGAGAAGAACTAAAGTAGTTTAGCCTCAATTTTCTAAAGAAAATTAGTAATGTCTTTCTAAAGCTAGAATTAGTTTCAATTCAAATAATCCCCAAAACTGTTATTTAGGGTGCTAAAATGTGATGTTTTTCTCATTTAATCCAAATTGTGAATAAAATTGTTAAACATTATCTGTTTAATAATGTGCTACTGTAGCTAATAGTTTGTTAGAGTTAAATAAATCCTTGTTTGGAAATCTGCAATGTGAATGCCAATTTTGAATGCTACAATTAGAGGGCCAGTCCCAAGAAGAGCAAATAACCACAGAGTTACCAGAACAAAGCACAACTAAACAAGAGAGCACCTGACTCACAGGAACCCTGTGTACAGCATTATTTTGGTGAGGTTTTATAAGTATTAATTTAACAAACACAGAAAAGACAAATTCTTCATTTTATTACTTATATTTGTGCATGTAGGTAAATAACATGACCAACAGAGGGTGCCAATTTTCCATTCTGTTGCCCAAAACTGTATTAACATTGACTTGTGTAAATACAGATCATCTTATTTTATATTGTTCCATATGGAAATCTAAAATAGCATTTCTTTGCCAAGATTAACAAGTTATAATGAGAAATAGAACAATCATGGAAATACTTTACATTTTATTATTGAAATACTACTTTTAAATGGGATCCTATTATTTAAAAGATTATAAAACCTTTCACCTCTTATACAAATAAGTGAAAACTAAAACTCAGAAATGCTTAGCATAAAATTTTAAGCCATCCTAAAACTATGTGGTGTAAAATAGCTTCATAAATACATTAAACTGGGAAGATGAGCTTTCTACTCCAAATGTGACATGAGCTCTTTTCAACAGACATCACACTACAGAGTTTCAGAAATAAAATTAGTAATCTCTTTAAATACATGGTTTATTATAGAACTACTGAGTACATAATTTTCACTTCCAGCCTACAGTTTTTTCTTTTACATTATAGAATATAAACAATAAAGTAGGAAACTAGAGCATAAGAAACACTTATGTAATCACATAAAATTCATGAAGTTACTTTGGTACTATTAAAATTCACAATTATGTTGAATGATATATAATTCAGTCTTATAAATAACTGATTAGTATTATATTTACAAAGCCAAATAAAGCATTTCAGAAGTTAGGTCAAGAGATGAATGGGTAAGGGTGTGGGGCAAGTCTTGGGTAGAGGACAAATAGATGACATCACTATCAAAACATAAGCTCAGAGAGAATAGGGTTTTAATGGCATATCTATTTGGTTCACTGCTGTACTGATGGTGCCTAGTACATAACTCAGTGCCTTCAAAGGCTTTTAAGGAGGCTGAATAAAATAAGGATAAGGTCATTTTTATGGAGCGTGTGATAGATCTGGACTTTTCAGTTTCAGGTTTGGATTTTATATGTTAGTAACTAGATGTTACTGAGTTGCTACTGACTTTAGCTTCAACTTTCTTATCTGCAAAATGGGGAGGACATCTACTTATCTCACAAACCTACTGAATGAATAAATAAATGTATTCTCTACCATTCTTTAAACTGTTACACAAGTACAAGGATTACTTTAGGAGGGCTGGCGCTGTGGCGTAGCGGGTAAAGCCACTGCCTGTGGTGCTGGCATCCCATACGTGCTCCAGCTTGAGTCCCGGCTGCTCCACTTCTGATCCAGCTCTCTGCTGTGGCCTGGGAAAGCAGTAGAAGATGGCCCAAGTCCTTGGGCCCCTGCACCTGCATGAGAGACCCTGAAGAAGCTCTTGGCTTCTGGCTTCAGATCGGCTCAGCTCCGGCCATTGTGGCCACTTGGGGAGTGAACCAGCAGATGGAAGACCTGTCTCTCTCTCTCTGCCTCTCCTCTCTCTGTGTAACTCTAACTTTCAAATGAATAATAAATATAAAGAAAAAAAGAAAAAAATTACT